TTATAAAGTGATTGATGGGATTGGCTCATTTAATTGTGGAGGGTTGGGGAGCGAAGTGAAGTAAAAGAAGGTGTGAGATTGTTCGCTATAAAGGTCTAGAATTTTTGGTGATTTAGGAAACAAAATTTAAGACTTGTGATCACAACTTGTGTGCGTGTCTGTGGAGTTCTATGAATTTTGATTGAATTGCCTTGCCATAGGTTGGTAGAAGCAAGGGTATGCTTTCATTTTGGGACACATCCAAAGGTAAAATACTATTCTCTTTTTCTGGTACTAGCTTCCTGATTGTTTGCTTGCAAGTGTTGGCTACTGGGAATCTATGTGTTGTGGTGAATGTCTATATCTCATGCATACTAGATGAGAAGAGAAAGTTGTGGGATAATTTGCTCATGACAAGAAGGGATTTTGACAGATTTATGTGGTATATATTAGGTGACTTCAATGCTGTAAAACAAGTGGAAGAAAGGAAGGGTCGTTAGGCAGACTATGGTATCTCTGAAATGAATTACTTCAATTCTTTCATTCACGAGATAGAGCTTGTGGATCTTCCGCTTGTAGGTAAGAAATTAACATGGAAAAGATGCTTCTATGATGACCAAACTTGATAGAGTCCTTGTTTCTGGTTCTTAACTTAATTACTAGAGAGATGGTTTTATTCAGGTTCTGAGCTGAGATGTGTATGATCATTGTCTCATTATTCTAAAGCATAAGGTAGTTAGCTAGAATCTAAAGCCGTTTTGATTTAGCAATTGTTGGCTGACTCATAAAAGAGTTTTGGAGGTAGTAGAGAAAGCGTGAAAATGAGATATTACTCTTCCATAAGCTGCTTAAAGAGTTAGGCAGAGGTTGAGGAATGTTAAGATTGCATTGAAAAAATAGAACATTGAGGTGTTTGGGAATGTTGATAAGGTAATTCTAATTTGACAAATGAGTTGAGCTGGATTGATAATAATAATTATGTTATGGCACTTTTTGATGTGGAGAAGAAGTATCAACGAATATTGATGGGTGATATTTGGAAGGTCAGGAAGAATAGAGAGAGTCTCATAGCTCAAAAAGCTCGGATGAGATGGGGGAAGGAGGTGGATTTAAATATAATATTTTTTCATTTGTATGTTAACAAGAATAGGCAACATAATAATGTATATGCATTCCAAATTAGGGGGAGAAGTGTCGAAGAGGTTGATGAGATTAAAATAGGTGTTGTGTCTTCTTTTGCTGATCATTTTAGTAGTATATGTTAGCTTCCACCTACTATTGATGTTAATGATTTATTGAGAGTCTCGGTACTACAAAATGAGAGACTTGTTAGTGCTTTTTTGGAGGAGGAGGTGGGGAGGATGATTTTGGAGTGTGAGGGGAATAAAAATCTAGAGCCTAACATTTTTAATTTTGTGTTCCTTAAGAGGTTTTGGGGAGTGATCAAGGGAGAACTCATGGATATGCTTGCTAAATTATTTAGAAATAGAAAACTACCTAAGTCTTTATTATCCTACTTTGTAGTGTTTGTGCCAAAAGTGTTTTGCACACAACAGATTTCTGATTTTTGACCTATCTTATTATTAAGTTTCCTTTATAAGTTGTTTCCAAGCTTTTGGCGAATAGGTTGAAGGGGGTTCTAGATTCAATAATTTTAGAACAATAATTGGCTTTTATCCTAGGAATGAACATGTTAGATAGTGTGCTTGCGGCTAATGAGGCGGTTGAATATGTGCGATGGCATTATAAGAGGTGTTTTATGTTAAAGCTTGATTATGAGAAGGCCTATAACTTAGTGGATTGAGGGTATCTTTTGTTTATGTTACGTAGCTTTGAATTTTTAGAAAAATAGGTCAATTGGATGGAAGCTTGTGTTTGTGGGAGTAGCCTGTCAGCTTTGATTAATAGTTGCCTTACATTAGAGGTTCATATTGGGCAGAGCTTAAAACAGGGGATCCTCTTGTCCCTTTTCTTTTCTTATGAGAGCGGAGGGGTTAAGAGTTCTTATGTAGAAGGTAATGACATGTGGGTTGTCCTTTGGTGTGAAGATTGTGGTTAGGGAACCAAATATTTCTTTTCTACAATTTGCTAATGACACATTAATTATAGGAGAGGCTCCGGTTCAGAACTTGTAGACTTCGAAAGCAATATTGCATAGCTTTGAGTTAATGTCAAGTATGAAAATTAACTTTCATAAAAGCTGTGTTTTGGGAATTAACAATAATAATGACTTTGAAAACTTGGCTACTGAGTTCTTACATTGTAAGATTGGTAGCTTCCTATTAAAGTATCTCCGGTTACAGTTAGGTGTTAATATGAGAAAGCCTAGTGCGTAAAAGGTGTGTCAGAAGCTCTTAAAAAGAGGTTGACGTCATAAAAGTATAGATATTTATCAATTAGAGAGAGAGTGACTTTGATTAAGGGTAACTTTAATTTTTGTCGTTCTTAATTCTATGTCATTGCACGCATTATTCTTTTTTAAGGCACTGAAGTCGGTGACAAAGGAGTTTGTCACTATCGAGTAGAATTTTTTATAAAAGAGGATGTTAAGGATGAATCTAAAATCTCCTTGGTGAAATGAGAAACGGTTTGTAGACTGTGGAAGAATGGTGGCTTAGGTATTAGGAATGTATAGTGGTTTAACTGGACGCTTCTTGGTAAATGGTTGTAGCGATATGTTAATTGTTCTAGTTCATTGTGAGTGCGGGTGTTGGAAGCTAGGTATAACATATTAGCTTCTTCTATTCAGCGTCCATTAGTACACAACAAGTGTTCTTTGTGGTGGCGTGAATTGTTAGAAGTTATTCATTAAGGAAATTTATGGTTTAACTGGACGCTTCTTGGTAAATAGTTGTGGCGAGGTGTTAATTGTTCTAGTTCATTGTGAGTACGGATGTTGGAAGCTAGGTATGACATATTAGCATCTTCTATTCAGTGTCCATTAGTACACAACAAGTGTTCTTTGTGGTGGCGTGATTTATTAGAGGTTATTCATCAAGGAAATTCATGGTTGAATGAGAAGTTGAATAGGAGTGTGGGTGCAGGTTTGCACACCCTTTTTTGGAAAGATAAGTGGGTAGGCGGGGTGCGATTGTTTGTGATGGTGAGGAATGTTGAATCTTGTGTACTGGAGAATGGTTTTCATGATGACACAAGGTAGGTTTGGGCTTTTAATTGGTGCAGATGACTCTTTTTACATGAGATCCCAAGTTTTAATATTTTGTTGGAGCTTGTTGATTGGATTTCTATTAAGGTGATACAAAAAGATAAATGAGTATGGAAGTGACTATCACTTGTTAGTAAGGGATAAGTTATTTTGTTAGCTGATTAGTATCTAAACTCATAAAATTGCATCCACCTTGACTTAGCATAAGTATGTTTCGGTCTTTTTATTTTTTGTGTAAGTGTGAGTTTTTTTTTCTTTGTATATGAGTTGAGTTCCCTTCAATTCTCTTTAATAATATATGTTTTGCCTATAAAAAAATAAATAACATCAACTTATGAAAAAATATATATATATAAGAACTTATTTAAATATAATTTAAAATATAGTTTATGATAATCATTATTTACATATTCTTTTATATAGTTTATTAATTTATCATAATATTATTAAAGTGAAAATATAAATTAATAAAATAGGTTAGAAATATATTTTTTTAATAGTCTTTTAAGACACTCGTAATTATTAATTAAAATTTATTTTAAAATATAAAGTATGAGATACAAACATAAAATTAGGAATAAGAAAAAGTATTTTTTATGCAATTTTTTAATTAATTATTAAGAAATTACTAAAAGTTAATATCTTAAATCTATTCAATTATAAAAATATAACTATAAAATTACTATAGAAATTTAAGAAATTGGTTGCAAACACCATTTATCAGTGATAATATATTCATTTATTTCATTGGCAATAAATACTACAAACACCTTTTTGTTAACGCAATTACAAACAGCTAATTGCCTACGTCAATGACTCGTATAAGAAATTGGACGGCACATGACCAACAATGCACTTGGTGGTAGAAGTGATCGCCGGTTGGTTTTGGGTGGTTCGAGTTTAAAATTAACTAATTATATTTAACCGAATTGTTTAGAAAAATAATCAATTTTATCCAATTTTTTATCGGATAGCTAGGATTTGGGTCCATCGGGTAACTCAATTAATCAGGTGGTTAATTCGGTTAAGCCTTATGCTGGGAAGAAAAAAACTATGGTCTGTGGTAACAAAAAAAAGAGTCAGAGAAGAAGAAAAATTCTAAACCTTAGCAGAGCTCAAAGATAACAAACAAAGGATCGAGCGTCACACAGACTAAAAAATTGAGGGAAAGATATGTTGCAATATCAATTAAAATCGGGAACTGGGTCTAACCCAAATTAAATATTCATATCACATGCATATTTGATAAATTAAATATTCACGAATTTAGAAATGAGAAAAAGATATGTTGCAGTATCAATTAAAACCTAATGACCCAATAACAGAACTGAACATGACCCAAATTAAATATTCATATCACATGCATATTTGATAAATTAAATTTTCACGAATTCACATATACATATTTAGTCAGTTTCAAGTACCGATAGTTTTCTAATTTTATATTTTTTATCGACTTTATTTAACCATTTTAATCCGAAAAAAATATTATACTTACCTAAAATTCATTAATATCCAATTTTGCTTAAGTGAGTTACTCGGATTCATATGGAGTGAAACGGATTGCTCGGATATGCAGAATCCTACTTGGTGGACACTTAAAACATTACATCAATCCCTTTCCCTTTAGAGGGATTTAAATGATGTACCCTTTACGTAGGCACCATAGTATACAAATATTTTGATCCGTCACAGAAGTTCATGAACTATATGAAATTAAACCTTAAATTAACATTCTCACATTTCGGATTTGTTTGTTTTACAGTTATAAAATTAATTATTGTATTTCTAAATAAAAAAAAACACGTTTCTATGAAAATATGTTATTGAAATTAATTTATACATCTAAGAAATCGAAAAAGAGAAGTCATAACAATTAAGTATAGCTAACAGAGCGAGAGCACTCTCCAAAATGTATGAAAAATGACAGGAAGCAACAAATATATGGCTAAACATTTTGAGATTTTAGAAAACAGTATCAAAACCAGGTATAGAATTACAATACCATGTTGCAGTTAAGCAAAAATGAATGTTATGTAGAATGTATTATGACCCTACATGCATTTAATAACAATGAAATTGTAAGAACTCCCTAAGAAGAGCAAACATTGCAACTCTTCATACAGCCTCCTCTTACTCCTCTGCCAACCATATAGAGTGGGTTCTTCTCACATTCACCTATTTTAGCCCACAAAGAGCAATTCTCATCTTCATCTACACACTCTCCACTATTCACTCTCCTCACTGGTTTATCAAAGTCACTCACACGAATCCACTTAGTTGCAGACCACTTCTCACCCTCAATCACTGGGCAGCTTCCATGCAAGCTTTTTGTATCCGGAGTTGCGTCAGGATGAAGACTGAAGAACAACAAGGCATCACCCTTTACAGGTTTCACTGAAATGACAAGCAAAAAGTGTCAGAATGTATATCCTGTGCCATAAAACAAGACACGAAATCTGGTAGTTCAATACATCAAAAGCTGTGCCAATAGCTTTGTAAAGCCATATTGAAATATAAATACCTGCATATCCTTCGTGAGCACATTCAGACCAACTCTCATCTTTTGGCTGCGACAACTATGCATGAAAACGAAAACAAATTAATCATGATTTCACTTTTTTTTTCTTGGTGAGGGTTTGAGTAGAATGATAGCAAATCACTGTGACACTATTTTTTAGTTTTGACTGCTTTGAATGAAATTTTTTTCGAGTCAGATGAAACTTTATCTGTGACAAAATTTACCTTATGAATATTTAAAATAGTATTTATTGACTAAAATTTATTTAAAATTATAAAAATTATTTGTTTATGTAAACATTTGAGAATATGTTAAACAATGTGATACTAGTTGCGTAACTCATCCGTTGAAAGTAAACATTTGAGAATAAAGAGACATCATAAAATTTTTACCTCAAAATTGGGAAAAATGGTTTCCCCACCCTTCTCAACATCAGACAAGTACATCAATACAGTGGCAATGCGATGGCCACCCATTATTTGATTAGTTTCGTCGTCGAAGTAATCTAAGTGTGGTTCGTACTTCTGACCATTCTCATAGCGCAATATTTGCAATGACTCACCATTCTCTGATGCATTTGAGACATTGTTAAATTGAACCGCACAAAAGCAACACCGGGAAATAGGTCAAAAAACTATAATATCTGCTAACCTATAGGAAGGAATGTCCATGCAGCAATTCGGGCTTCCACATCAGCAACTACTTCATCCTTAAATATATTAAACAAAGAAAGAGGAAACTCAATAATTAAAAGCACAGGTGTCAAAAACTATCTCAGAGTAAAATTTCAGCTCATGAAAAACATGTTTTAATTGTCATAATAATTTATAGAGAAATGTTGCCTAATTTTCCCAACCTAGTCAGAGGAGTGGATTATTGTAATCGAAAGATATCTGGAATGTTGAAGAATTTTTTAAAAGGAACATTGGAAATATATGAAATGTCTAGCCAATTGAAAATGAAAAATAATTTAAAAAATTAAAACAAAAAAATTCCCAACCACATTTGTTAAGAAGAAACTTAAATCATCTTTGATTCATTAATACCTGTGCCTTGTCAAGAAACATCCCAGAACTCGTTCTGACTTCATTCATTACACTTTTACCAGATTCATTATCCACCACCGTAGACTTCTCTAGCTTATCCTTAGCCTAATATCACAATCATTCAGACATATAATATTATAATATACACACCCGATTAAATACCCCCTAAACCCATTGTTAATATTAATTATAAAAATCAAAATAAAATTCTAACCAGATTTATCATGTGGTCACATTCTTCCTCAGATAAAAATCCCTTGTACAGAAAAGCCCTGCACAACATAATTTACAAAATTTAAAAATAAAATATTGAAAAAAAAAAAGCGACCCTTTTGTCCAAAACATGAAAAAGGAATGTACCTAGGCCGCCACGAGAGCTGAGTAACCCGTGTGGGATCAAACTTCACTGGAGAGACTCCTCTGTTCGATCTAAGCACAAATTCATGCCTGAAGAAGCAGACACAAACAAATTGAAAGGTGAGATTTTGAAGGAATTCCCATATATATATATATATATAAGGGGAAAAGGGTGAGTGGTGTTTTTACGTGGCCTTGGCATCTTGGTACAAGTCGGTTAATCGAACAGAAGAAACAGAGATATCAGTGATAAGACAGAGGAAACAAAGGAAGAGTGAAACCAAATGGCGAGGAACCATGTTGAAGAAGATTTTGGTGAGGAACCAGAAGAAGGGTGAAGGGTTTTTGTAATGTAAATGTAATTGGTTGATGGTCAATGAAATTGTTCTCGCCCCTAATGTTCATTTCTACGCTCCAGTAACGTTGCACAGTAATTCCTAACCTCATGATATGTACTGGTGGTTTTATTTATGCCAATCAATTGAATTTTTGGCTTGATTGCATGGGGTGTGTGCAGGCAAGAGCGGCACTCTGTTTTGGATGAAAATGACTCATCAGTGGAATATGTGTGGCGGAAGGAGGATAACGACAAAACAGTCACTTTATTCCTCGATATAAGATGTAATTTTGTTTTGTGCTTGTAGAATTACAAAACATGCAATAATCGTGTTTAATTAAATACACGTTTAAAATTTTTCAGTGAATTTTAAAAAATTTATTATTATTATGTTAATATTTTTCGTCACAGATGAGAAAAAAAAAGTAAAACTACATGTTTCTCTCCAATTTTTTCCTGAAATAATAGTGCTAAATAGGAGAGAGATCTTAAAATTAAAATAAACTCCAGAGTCAATTGTCCATAAGCTAACTTTCTATAAATTACACCGACAATTAAAATTAATTTTTATTTTGCAAGACTTTTTTAATTTGAGTGACTTTATGATTTCACTTTAAAGATTTTAAACGTTATTGATGATGCGACTAACACCAAGAAAAGATGATGAGAAAAACATGGTTGAGAAATACTAAAGTTTAACTTTTCTGTCTAAAAAAAAAGTATAATTTTTCTTTAATTATTAAAAAAGACTAATAAAATATTATCCTATCAATATGGAAGAGAACACAACTAGACGAACCTTACAACAAGAATTCTAATTTTTTTCTCTGTAAATTTTTTCTCTCTTTGTGTATGTAATCTTAGGATGTTTAAAGAAAATGGGATATCTACAACTTTAAAATTGTTTATATTGATTATATATTTTGTAATAATTATATCTAAATGACATACACTCGTTTGTGTAAATATGTTGCATTGGATGAACTGTCAATGTTATTTAAAATAACATAATCAAAATTTATTAATTTTATTTAAAAAATATGATTATGCAATTATAAGTGATTATATAAAATAAGAAATTAAATTTTGAAATAATTAATTTAAAATTCATATAAATTGTATACATTAACTAATTGTTGTATAAAATTAAACTCTGTTTAAATTGTGACAACGTTTTAATTTTTATGCTCATTATTAAAATTTGTTTTACCATTATTTTTAAGGATACTGAACCTATTTAAAAAAAATGTATTTGAAACACGGAAGATTTTCAATCGTTAACATTCAAAAATTTTAAAACCAAATACTAAATAAAAAATATGCTTGCGATACTGCGTGTAAATTTGAAAGGATATTTTGTATCTTTCATAATTTTTAATATTTTAAAAATAAAGAATATTAACATATTTTTAAATTAAACTACTAATTTTACTATATATTAACATAACATAAAATTAATTGTAACTATTATTTCACGTACAAGAGAGTATCGAACTCTCAATTATAAATAGTATAATAGATTTTACTAATAAAATAAATACATTAAATTTCTTAATATTTGATATGATTATACAAAACATTTTTATGCATAAATTTATAATTTTATTCTTTAATTTATGTAATACCTTTTTATTTTATTTTATTTTGAGTTTTTGACACCGATCAAACATAATATTTTATTTTTATGCTTTATATTTTTTACAATCATTGATAATTTCTCAAATAATTAATATATATATATATATATATATTTGAAAATATAAATTTACAATATAAGTATTTTGACTTTTTAAAAAATTTATCAATCACAAAAAGTATGTTAAAAAATACATTATTAAAATTTCTATTTCTAAATTAGAAATAAAATCAATTTAATTTAAAATTTTCTCCTTTCTTTTGTTGACATTTTTGGGAAAACCATTCTTTTTTTGTCAAAGTTTCTCCCTTTATATATGCACACGTAACTTGGGCTGGTCAAAAGTCCAAATATAATAAGAGGCCCGTTGATAAAGGATCCGACCCGTTGGACACGACGACCCGTTCAAATTTAGGGTTTCTAGGCTCTAAGTTCTTGTCGACTAACTATGGTTATAAATACGTCGTGGCGCAAGAGCTTTCCTTGTCATCCATCTCTTCCAGTCTTCGGCTGTTGAATTAGGTTTTTTCTTTATTCTCATTCTCTCATATGTTATTTTCTTCATTGCGCATCGATCAGGTGATGAGAACAAAAAACTGCAACAATATGATTGGACTAGCTCCATGATTACTTGTATTTAAGTCTCTGATGATTTGTTCTTTTTATATTTTTGTTTTTCAAATTACCTTTTCTCTGAAAATTTCGATATTGTTTTTATAAATTTTAAAAGCGAAGGGACGTGATGAGTTTTACATTGGTCCGTGTTTCTGAATCACCGTGACCGACTACTTTTACCAATTTCTGATCTCCAATCGCAAATAATTTTTTGTATTTGAATTTTTTCCTCTTTTGATTGAATTTTTTGAATTTTGTAAATGAATTATGTATTGCAGTGGATCTTTAATTTTCTGCATTTGTTGGATTGGTTCCATGAGTCGTTGTATTTGAGTTTCTGTTGATTAGTTCTATTTTTTTATTAGAATTTCTTTTTGAAATCCAAAAGTTAAGGGACTTGATGAGTTTTACATTGGTCCGTGTTTCTGAATCACCGTGACCGATTACTCTTACCAATTTCTGATCTCTAATTGAAGTAAGTTATAATCTTGGTATTTTGTGTCTTCTAATTTTTTATTGATTTTTGAAATTCTAGAATTGTTTTTTGAATGCTAGCGGCTCTATGATTTTCTGCCTATGTTGCAGTATACGCTATTCCGATGTACAGTATGAGAAGATATTCTATTGAAGATGAGAGCCAATTTGATTTTCTTAGGGTCTTTGGTAATTGAAATTACATTATTTTGGTGAGTTTCTTTTACGATTTGATTTTGGTTATTGTGGTTCTGCAGTGATGATTTAAGAATCAAATTCACATGTCAGACTTCAGAGATTTTCTAAATCAATGAGAATGACAATCTTCGAAACTGAGCAGAATTGTTTTTTTTTGTTATGAAATGAATTAAAAGTTGACGGGAGATTTCTGAGAAGGAGTCTCATGCTTCTTGGAGAGCAAACGGGTTGTGTTTGCATAGTTCTCAAGTAACCGTCATAAATCAATGCTTACTGGTGTTGACGGCGCTGCCCTCACGGGTGGCATCTCCGCCGGAGCAGTCTCATATTCCATCGCCTTGTGGAGCGGCGTTGCTGCCTTTACCATTTGGGACTGGCCATGAGACGAACATTCTGATTGATTTTTGAAATTCAAGACTAATAGACAGATATTTGTAGGGATGAGGGAATTTTGATTTAATCATGAATATTGTATTACTATAGAAATGAAGAGTCATGTAATTTTGAATATACCTAGATGGAGCAGGTGAAGAAGACCTGAAAGTCTTAGATTTTAGGGGTCATGTTCGATTATCTAATTATTAGGTAACTGGTGATGAAGATCATTACTAGTTAAGAATTTAGTAATGCTTCGAAATTGCACGCTCTTGTTAAGCGCTCGGAATTATTAAGCACTCAGACGCACTAAATTTGGGGACGCTATATCAATCTGCAAGATTTTATCAGAATTAACCCTGATTAAAAGGTTATAATACGATTACTGTAATTTATATATATGTATGTGTATTATTGTTTTATATATATATATATATATATATATACAAAATTATTTAATAATATGGATAAAAATAATAAAGGTTAACAAAAATAAAATATTAATTATTATTGATTTTATATAAATAAAAATAATTATAAAAAAATTAAAAGAAAGTGAAATACTAACTTTTAAAATTTAGAATAATATTAATGAAAATGTGAAAAAAATAATAAGCATTTAATTAAAGACACTGATTGATTTGTTAAGAAGCTTCACATAAAATAATTAAACATTTAATTAAACATAAGCTATCATATACAGGATAAAATTCATTTCCCTTTTCACCAAAATGAATCCATCTTAGTGTAGTGGCGTTAAATTCTTAACAAGCATTAAGCAATAAACATTTTCATCAAACTCACTCTATTGTGTACGTGTCAACTTCTTTGTCATCCTTAACTGTTGTTTTGCCCTCCTTCAAGCAAAGACAATGCTTATGGTCAACATCATCATTCTTCTTCCTTTTATGTAAAGATCATCTACAACAAATCTTAGAGTACAATTGAAGAATAAACTTTTCTTTTCTCCTCAACCTTCAATAAACTTTTTATATATATAACATCTACTAGATGTTCAGTTCCCAACTCTCATTTACTAAATTGAAACAAGATTCAGAATGCAGCTACCAGAGTATATCGCTGCTTTATTTTTCTTCTTAATCTGCTCTTCGATTTTACATGGTAATTGCATATTCATAGTAGTATCTTCCATAACATTTGATACACCTGAAACTTTCTTTTTTCCCTAATTATGAGTCTACATGAAAAAAATAAGATAATATCAAAATAATAATCCCAAGGGCTTTGATTTTTTTTTAATTTTAATATATGATGATTTGTTTTATGTTTGTATCTATAATTACCATGCTCATGCAAGAGTTATTTTTCTTGTGAATCATATTAAGAGTGCTTTTGTATTTAATTAAGCAATTATTCAATAAACCTTTATATTATAACATATAATAATTTATGGTATAAATTTGATCATGAAACTTATTAAAATAAACTTAAAAGAGCTTACTTTCATAATTAAAAAAAATTAAAGGAAGTTACAAATTATCTTCAGAAGTTCTTCATAAATTCTTTCAAATATGCTGATGGATGTTAATAGTTGAATTGGGTTGTATCTATTGTTTTTAGAGGTAATACAAATTGCAAAACATAAAAACTATATATGCAGGGAAAGTAGAGGCGCATCAAGTAACATTCTATGTGCACAATAAATGTCCCTTTCCAATTTGGCCAGCAACAGCACCAAACACTGGGCAACCAGTGATAGCAGATGGTGGATTCTTCCTTGCTCCAGGCCAAGTACAACGTGTCATAGCACCATGGACATGGAGTGGTAGGATTTGGGGTAGAACAGGTTGCAATTTTCCATCAAATAATTGGAAACCAGCGTGTGAAACTGGAGACTGTGATGGAAGACTAGCATGCAATGGGCTCATAGGGACTCCTCCAGTTACACTAGTTGAAATTTCACTTCAAGGTGATAGAGGCAAGCCAAATTTCTATGATGTTAGTCTTGTTGATGGTTACAATTTACCTGTTTCTGTTACCCCTAAGATCATAAATCCCAAGTGTAACATTCAAGGGTGCTTGAAGGATCTCAAAAGCATATGCCCACATGAGCTTGAGGTGCTGAATTCAAAGGGAGAAGTTGTGGCATGCAAAAGTGCTTGTTTGGCTTTTGATATTGACAAGTTTTGTTGTAGGAATGAATATGGAAGCCCTGCAAAGTGCAAGCCTAGTGTGTACTCAAATATATTTAAGGATGCTTGTCCCAATTATTTTAGCTATGCTTTTGACACACCTTCTCCATTGGTGAGTTGTGCATCCTCAGAGTATATAATCACATTTTGTCCTTATGGGTGGGGTGCTGCTGCTGACCACAAATCTGAATAAAGAGGAATATTGGCGATGTGCTTTTTTAAATAATTTCTTTAATATACTTTGTATGATTAGTTTAAAAATGTGATTGATTAAATTTTCAAAAAGTTGAAATAATTTTTAAAAAATATCAATTTACAAAGTAAATGTTTTAACTCTTTTAAAAAGTTAATCAATCACAGAAAATGTATTAAAAAAGTGTGTTGTTCCAATTTCTCTATGAGTAGAAAGTGTTTGCTCCTCAGTTGTTCATGTACTGACTTGGTGGAATAGCAGGTTGGTAATAGAATCAAATTAGTATTTGATTCTTAAGGCACTGTTTTATGCGTTGATATAAAATTGTGTACTGATTATGGTGTATTATTTATACCTTAAGGGATGTTGAATATTTTGTCAGTGTTTGAAAATTTTAAAATGGAATTCTTATCTTGGTTAAATGAGGAATAATAAAATAAAATTTATTTTTTAAATAAAAATAATTTTTTTTTTTTTACATATTTCATTTGTAATAAGTTTCGATTTGATCTAATATATCAATATTTTGTCGACATGTTTGTTCACTTAATACAAATTATCCTGATTAAAAAAATTGGGTTAGTAAATACTCAATTAAGTTTTGAGAAATTTACACATTATTAAATTTATTAGTATAACAAAATGATAGCGTTCTTTAATACGCCTCATGCTACTAATTTTTTGACTCATTTCACTTTCTATTTTTTTTAAAGTAATTGATGTCTAAAGATTCTAATTTATTGGCACTAGTTCCCTTTGTATGCTTGAAAAAGAACACAAATTTTGTCCTTTTTTAATGTTTCTGATTAGTATTAATTAAAACTTGCTTCGTACTTTTATAATTGACATTAAAATATGCTCACTTTTCAATTGTTTAGTTTCTGTTTAATTTATAGTTAAAAATTCAATTCTTGTATTTTTCTAAGAAAAAAGATGTTATAATAAAAACAAATGTTGACTTTTCAGTGATTGAGCTCTGTTTGGGAGATGCTTTAACCTTCTTCAACATAATTAGCAGCTTTATTACATCTCACATTTCCTTTTGCTCCAATGGCTGAAGTAGGGTTAAGGTCTACTCTAGCCAATTAATTTTAATAACATTACAGTCGTTGAAATATTTAATTTATTTTATAAAAAATAATAAACATAACATTTTAATATTATGAATGGTCAAATTTTCCATCGTGCTTGGTGCACGCAGTGAAAAATTTAGCAGCAGATAAATTGACAGAGCATGAAATTGGATTAGATCCCACCATGTTGTACAAAAAATATTAAAACAAAATCAATTGATCTTACATATATTATAATAAAATTTACTTTATTACTTATGTGTTTTTTCAAGAATAATATTTTTTAACAATTTTTTATATATTTCAATTATTAATAATTTTTAAAATTATAAAAATACGAAAGAGAAATATTATATTAAAAAAAAGAAAGATTTACACAATTTTTATAATTTTTAAAAATTAGTTAATAATTAAATATATATTAAAAATATTGTATTAAATAGTATATTTGTAGCATTAATATAACAATAATATGTATATGTAAAGATATAGGTAATTTAAGAGAACTGACGTGTGGAACGATCATAACGATGATGTTTGTAACACATTAATTTTTTTCATAAGCACTAAGGTCACAGTCAAAATTTAAATTATTTCTCTTTGAGATAAAGAGATCACCATAGTCACTTGAGTCTCTTTTAATGAAGTCTTTTCATACTGTTTACGGTGAAAAATGACAGTGGTAAACAAATAATCCAAAGATCATTCTGGGGACTAGATTTAGGTCATCTTTGGGTTCTTTTAAGTGTGTTGTTAACGTGATGCTCAAATTAACGGCGTAAAAAAGTATTAAGCAAGAATAGTGAATAATAAATTAAACCTATCGACATAATAAATGTTCAGCAACATCGACCATCAGTATGTCGATAAGTTCTACGAAATTAGCTTCTATTTACATGGGATCAGAATCGATTTTCATCGGCATTTTGGTTTTTTGCTCGAATTTTAATCGTCCTTGTTTAATGGCGTCCTGAATAAGATCCCTGAAACGAACACAGTTATTAGTCCAATGTCCATAAACATTATGAAACTTACAATATTTTTGACCCTTTCTTTGTTCTAGAGTAGGGATTTTATGATCATCAGATAATATAATTTGCCCATCCTTCAATAAAATGTCGAAAATATGATCAGCTTTAGATACATCAAAGGCATAACTCTTATTAGGTCGAGTTTTGTCCTTAATTTTGAGTGGTTTTAAAGATTGGCAAACATAAGGGGGTCCTGGTTTTAATTCAGCTACATTTACCTTATTTACCCCTAAATCGACATCTTCTTCGTCGAGATCATTCTCGCTTCCTATTTCCCCTTCAGCGAGACCTATGTAAGCCACTTTGTCTTTTCGAGGAAATTTCTCTATTTTCTTAGGGACAAATTTTTCAGCCTTAAGTTGCTCAATTTGCCTCACTCTCGTCGCTAACTGCGACATGTCTCTTAACTGTTGATTAATCAATTTCTTTCTAATCGAGTACTCTAATCCGCCTATAGCCATTTGGACTAGTTCATATTCTGGAATTTGAGTAAAACATCTCGACCTCATTTGTCGAAATCTACTTAGATAATCGTCAATGGATTCATTATGTATTCTTTTTATATTAACCAAATCCATTAAGCTAACTTTCGCTTCACCACAAAAGAATTGTTCATGAAACCTTCTTTCTAATTGATTCCAATTATGAATTGAATTCGGGAGTAAGGTTGTGAACCAGGTAAAGGCCCCCTTAGTCAAAGAACTAGGAAAGTACTTTAACTTTAAATCTTTATTTCGAGCTAAATCTCCACATTCTATGGCGTATCTAGCTATATGTTCTACTGTAGATTCACCGGAATCTCCGGCAAATTTAGTGAATTTTGGGACCTTCCAGCCCTAAGGCAGTTCAGCCTGCAAAATTGCCTCAGAGAATGCTGAGACAAAGTAGGGTCTATTAGCATACCCTACGTCGAACCCATGTTGATTCAGGACTTGTTTGACTACATTGGCAATGTTTTGAGGATTCGGGTTGTTTGGATATTGAATTTGATGCCCCCTACATTATTTTGCCTAACTTGCTCAAGTATTTCATCAGCATTCTGATTTCGAGCAATAATAAAGGGTTGATTTCCCTGGAAATCACCCTCATTTTGTCTCAAAAGGTTTTGGTCGAGATTTCGACCAATTTGCTCAAACGGAGCATTTGGATTTCGAGCAAAAACTAAGGGTTGATCTACCTAAAAATTTTCCTCATTTTGTCTCGGAAGATTTGGACCAAAATTTGGTCTATTTTGCTAAAAAATTTGACCATTTCGACCAAGATTTGTAGCATCTTGATTAGGTGTTTGGGCAACATTTTGCCCTTGCCTTATAGGGACTCGAGGTGCCCCAAAAACGTCAACAATTCGACGCATTTGTTCAGCCAAAATTTGATAGCTGGTATTAGTCGTTTCTACTATGGGATTCAACACAGTGGTCATTTGATGAGTCAGCATATTGACCATCTCGTGATTGCTTTCATCCATTTGTTGCCTCATGGAATGTAAGGCAACATTCGAAAACGAGCTAGTAGGAAGTGAATCCCCACTCGAAGCTCCAAACGCAAATTGCGTTTCAGGTACTCCACCAATCGTACCCATTCCCGGTGGAATAGTATGGAGTACACCCATTCCCGGTGGAATGGTGTGACTCTGGGGTGACACGATTGTCACCACAGGGTTAGAGTAGGTTGATACTCCAAAGATAGGAGGTATACACACGGGAGGTAAGCCAAATGGGTGATCACCCAGCCTTGGCCTTGGGCCAGGATTTATGCTGGGATTGGTTGGCGGCATAGTAGCCATAAATTGGCTAATTACGGGAGATGACGGTGTAGGTAACGCCGTCGTTGGTGTGGGTTGTGCGGCAGCAGTAGTACTGTCGCTTACATTTTCTGGGTTAGTATCACTACCATCACTTCTGGAATTGCCATTCCCAGAACTAGAATCACTATTTCTTCCTCTATTAGCCATAATACAACGTCCGTTACGTAATATCATGTCAAAACACACAATATAGTCCCACTGGGCGTGCCAATTTGTTTACGGTGAAAAATGACAGTGGTAAACAAATAATCCAAAGATCATTCTGGGGACTGGATTTAGGTCCTCTTTGGATTCTTTTAAGTGTGTTATTAACGTGATGCTCAAATTAACGGCGTAAAAGAGTATTAAGCAAGAATAGTGAATAATAAATGTGCAGAATTAAATCAAACGTAGATGCTTTTACAGAAATGTAGAAAGCAGGAACTAAACAACGTACAAAGACATAAGTAACAAGAACTGAAATTAAAATGCAGAAAGGTAAATGCAGGAATGTAAAGGTGCGTGAATGTAAACGTACGACTCCTCACAACGGCGAACAGCGGCCACCGTAGGTCTCCTCGTAGCTGGTGTCTGGCGCGGTGCAGGGTTTCAGCGTCTCAGAGTATTTAGGTGCGGTGTCTGGGTGCAAAAAGTCGTCCTTTGTAAAATGGTGCTTTGGAGTATTTATAGACATGAAGACTACCATCGTTCTCCTCCTTTTGCGGGCACTTCTTAGTAACTGCCTTCAACTGTTGACGCCCACTATCCACGATTGCTTGTGATCGTGTTGTTGGTTGAGGTTTCTTTCGTAACCGCTATTGCCCACGATCTCCTTTGTGTAGTGGTGAATGTTGATAATTGCTGGTAACCGCTTCTGAAATGACTTAACCTATCAAGACTCTTGTTTTTCTATCTTTCGAGTATTTCTGGGAGAGACTTGAGAGACGGCCTTGGCATAACTTCTCTTTTCGAGCCATTCTGGAGTTTTGAGAACTTTGTCTTGGTCTTGTGGACTTAGAATCTTTTCTTTGTCCATTTCTATTTTTCGAGCGATTCTGGAGGAAATCTAGCGCTCAGTCAGGTTTGTGAACTTAGAATATTTTCTGATCACTTCCTATTTTTTTTGAGCAGTTTTGGGTGTCAGAGACTTGGAAACTCCTCAAAACTCCTCGAAAAGCCATCAGTTTTTTGTGGACTTAGAATATTTTCCTGTTAGTTTTGTTTTTTCGAGCAGTTTTGAGTGTTAGGGACTTGAAAACTCTTCAAAACTTCTCGAAAAGCCATCAGTTTTGTGGACTTAAGTATTTTTCCTTGCCAATTCTATTTTTCGAGTAGTTTTGAGTGTCAGTGATTTGAAAACTCCTTAAAACTCCTCGAAAAAGCCTTCAGTTTTGTGGACTTAGAATATTTTCGTCTTTCAAGCAGTTTTTTGAGAAAAATCAACAATGTTGCAAAAATCGCTAAACATAGCTCGAACTGTGTCCCTTAAAACTAAGTCCTATATAATCTTCCAGGCTTCTTTTTTGCTCCTTTTTTACCCTCAAAATTTTGTCGAAAATAAAATTTCCTACAAAATGATCTTTAACTTAGAAAATTTTCTTTATCCCAAACACATACACACAATCAGAATAGTAACACACATTAATTCAAACCAAATTAAATATAACCATGCATTATATAAATAATCACTATATTACTTAGAATTCAATTTATCGAATTAGCAAATAACAAAACAAAAGGAATATTTTTTTAACAATTTTAAGTCTCAAATTTATTTTAAATATTTAAAAATAACAAATTTTTATTGAAATAATTATATAAAATATTTACAAAAACAACTATTTTCCTTTTTTATTTTATTTTTGAACGAGTAGTTACAGTTATATACAAAAAGAACTTTTACAATGGATATCAATTCCATATGGTTAACTTTCTTTTTGAAGGTTAAGCGTAAGCCTAATTTGTATGGAGAAGTGCTCTATCTAAAGAATGACACGTTGTCAAAACTTTTTTGCTAAATTAAACAACAATTGTGTCCTTCAAAATATAATAGACTTTGCTGAAGATTTTTTTTTTTTATTTCCTGCATTATTATTAAAATGGTAGACCATATTTTTTCTTGTTCTTCTAAGTCAAGTCAATTTATTCTTGATATGGAATGCTAGACTTCTTGTTTTTAATTGATGAAAAGATTATATTAATAAGATTTTAGAACGTGAGTTCAATTTAAGAGTTAGAGAAAGTGAGTTATCTACATGCTTAGGTAACCAGTTTATTTAAAATATTTTAAACTCTTTTAATTATGTAGCCGATAATTTATTGTTAACCTACCCATGTAATATTTATATCTCAATAGTTATTAGCACAATCAAATTTATATTTTATACTATTACATTTGTCTATTAGAAAAGTAAAAGCAAAGAGAGAAAATATATTGAAATGCAAGTTTTTAATTTCAGCATAGAAAATTGGTGCAAGATAACAATAAAAAGTGATTTACTTTGTATTAATGAAAATGATATAACAAGCATAATGCTCAAAGGCCATTGTCTTGTTTAAATACAAGCAGAAAACGCCAACACGCATGCAAATAAAAACTTGAAAGTCATAAATGGCAGCTGAATACAGACAAACATGAGAACCTGCGATTGATATAAAACATTGCTGTCAAAGGGAAACACACACGAAAACAAGCAGAACCTACTTAGTAATTGCAAGGTAGACTATTTTAAAAAAGCTGATTTTTTATCTGTATCTTTTATTATTTTTTTATATACTTGTATTTTAAAGTTAAATGAAAAAGCTTTTATTATCATATTTTGATGTTGATAACATATTTGTGTTGAAGAATGCTAATAAATATCTTTATATCATTAATAGAAGCATATTAAAGATAAAAAGTTCTTTTTTATTATAAAGTATTAACAAAATATTCTCTCATAACTTTAGATATATTTTTTATTATAATTATTAATAAAAATATTTATTTATTATTTTTCTCATATTACCTTCAAAACAGTGGTCATGAAAACCATTTTTTGGTTTTATTTTTTATTTTTTATTATATTTTTAATAATAATAATTGAGAAATAAAAATTTATATATAATATTACATATAGTATTAATTTTTAGTTGTTCAAAAAGGAAACATTTTTCCTTTCAACGTGCAGTATGGGGTGCAGAAAAAATAACACCGACACTCCATTAGTCCATGTCACTCTCTCCTTATAAATACCACGTGTTGAATTCATTGAACAGAAAAGCAGTAACTTAATCTCAGAGAAAGATGGAGATCAAGGAAATGTGGTCACAACTAGGCTCACTCATGGCTAGCATTATGTTTGTATATGCCATGTATGAGCAATTCTTCCCATACCATCTTCGATCCTATGTCAAAAAATACACACACAAATTCACAGGCCTCATGTACCCTTACATCCACATTTCCTTCCCTGAATTCACAGGTGAACGCCTCAAAAAAAGTGAAGCATTCACTACCATCCAAACATACCTTAGTGCAAATTCATCGCAAAAAGCCAAAAGACTCAAAGCTGAAGTGGTTAAAGATAGCCAAACACCACTCGTACTTAGCATGGATGACAATGAAGAGATCACAGATGAGTTCGAAGGTGTTAAAGTGTGGTGGGCTTCAAACCACACCCTCCCACAAACACAAACATTTTCATGGTACCCTTCTTCAGGTGAGAAAAGATTCTTAACTCTTACATTTCACAAACGTTACCGTGACCTCATCACAGGCTCTTACATCCAACATGTGTTGGAACAAGGCAAGAATATTGAAGTGCAAAATAGGACACTGAAGTTGTACACCAACAATCCAAGCAATGATTGGTATGGCTGGAAACGCACCAAGTGGAGCCATGTAACTTTTGAGCACCCTGCAAGTTTTGGGACCCTTGCAATGGACCCAAAGAAGAAAGAAGAGATCAGAAATGATCTTGAAAAGTTCAAGAAGGGAGAAGATTACTATAAAAAAATAGGTAAGGCTTGGAAAAGAGGGTATCTTTTGTATGGTCCTCCGGGTACTGGTAAGTCTACTATGATAGCTGCTATGGCTAATTTCATGAACTATGATGTGTATGATCTTGAACTCACTGCAGTTAAGGAAAACACTGAGCTAAGGAGGCTTTTGATTGAGACATCAAGTAAGTCAATTATAGTGATAGAGGACATTGATTGTTCTCTTGATCTTACGGGCCAAAGGAAAAAGAATAAGAAGGAAAAAGATGAGGATGAGGTTGAACAAGCCAAGAATCCTACTAAGAAACACGAGGAAGATGAAGAGAAGGGAAGTAAAGTGACTCTATCTGGGTTGTTGAATTTCATTGATGGGATTTGGTCAGCTTGTGGAGGAGAAAGGATCATAATTTTCACAACAAATTTTGTGGAGAAGCTTGATCCTGCTTTGATTAGGAGAGGGAGAATGGATAAGCACATAGAAATGTCTTACTGTGGTTTTGAGGCTTTTAAGGTTTTGGCCAAGAACTACTTGGATGTTGAGTCTCATAGTTTGTTTCCTAGAATTGAGAAGTTGTTGGGAGAGACCAATATGACACCTGCTGATGTTGCTGAAAATTTGATGCCTAAGTCAATTGTTGAAGATTCTGAGACTTGCTTGAAGAATCTTGTTGTGTCTATTAAGGAGGCTAAGAAGAAGGCTGAGGAGGATGCAAAGAAAAAGGCTGAGGAGGATGAGGAAGAGAGATTGAAGGCAGAGAAGAAAGAAAAAGAAAAGCTGGCTAAAGAGGAAGAGGTTATAGCTAATGGAAAATCTGAGGAAGGGGCGAAAGAGAATGGTGACAACAATTAGTTTATATTAAGATAAAGATTAAATAACATATAACATATTTCCTTCTTGGTGAAATAATTTATATGTAGTTGCATTATATAATTCAAATATAGTTAAGTTTTTTCCTTTGTTTCAAAAGCAATTAATATGCAGTTGTATCATTGTTTATGGTAATATTTTTTATTTGCTGAAAAAATCGTTACATAGTTATATTTTTATGAATACGTGAAAATGGATATTGAATCAAATTTTTTATAAATTGTTCTCTTGTCTTTGACGAAAAAAATCATAATATTTGAGTTATCAAAAAGAAGACTTTGAATATTTAGAAAGTTATTAAAGAAAATTACGAAGTTCTTTTACTATTACATAATCTTACTATAATCTAAATAAAAATTATAAAAAAAAATATAGAAAGAAAATGTAAATTCATATCTTTTTAGCTGGTGTTTCAATACTTATCTTTATGAGAATTATGACTTTAAAAGTAACAAAAGTAATTTAAGATTATTTAAAGAAAGAATATATTAGAAATGAAAGATTTCAAGATATGCAAATATTAAATTTAATAAGAAAATTTGAATTCTAAAATTGTGATAATTAAAGTATACTCATACAAATTGTTTAACATAACTAATAAGATAAGATTAATAGGCACTTAGTTTTCTAAAATTAATTAAAATTTATTAAGTGTTGATCAATTGATTAAAAAATGATTTGAAGTTATTTTTAAAAACAAATATTATTTAATTAAAGATAAAGTTGGTTAAGATATTTTAAAAAAATAAATAAAAAAGAATTTTTTTTACTCTAAATTTATTAGAAGTGAAGCAAACAACTTTATTATGTAAAAAGAATATGACAATAATTCACCTTAATACTTTTAAGTGTTGAAAATAAATAGTTAAATACTTTAAAAATATTTGCAACTCATACATGAATTTTAAAATGAGTAAAAAATTTAAGTTGATTAATTTTTTTAATAGTAATCGAAGTGACTCAATTAATTATATAAAAATTTTCTTAGAACCAATTATGATTAATCAAGTTCTTTAAAAAAAAAAATTATTTAATTCTGATTTGAAGTGAAAAGAGAATATAAAATTTTTATTGACAACAAATTTATTTTATGTTAATAAATCTAAAATATAAAAAGAAATTTGTAATTTAAAAATCAAGAAGAGTTAACATTATACTTTTATAACTATTTTCGGTAATTTCAATTTATTAGATAAGTATTATTGTTAGAAATAATTTAATTTATTATAAGTTTGTCAAAATCTTAATTACATAGTTAGTTTCTAATTTATTTAAATTATTATAAATATATTTTCATATTGAATGACGGTAAATCCATTCTGATTCATTCATCTTACAATTTTATACATTTTTATTATTTATTTTTGTACCATAAAAATCAACTATATATTCATAACATACCTGTATTAAAATGCTCTTAAATTGCTTCTAATCACAGCTGACCAAATGTTATGTCAAACTACCTCTTGGTTAAATTCATTCAAACGTAAATCTAGTTTAACATTACAGATTATAGCTTTTATGTAGAAACACAATTTAACGTAATATTATTAAAATTTAAAATATACATTTGAGTATAATTTTTACACATAAGAGGAAAAAAAACAAGAAAAAAATGTGTAATAAATGGATTCATGTGATAGAAAAAATAAAAAAGTGAATATATAAATTATTATAAAAAATAGTGTAAAAGCAATAAATTTTATAACGCAGGCGTGCATACCACGTTATTCTTTTGACTCGGCACTGACTCACTTAGCCATGGATGACCTTCATCTTCTCTGCATCAACGTGACGTTTGGGTCGGTTGTCCGCATCAACACCTTTCCGTGGAGAAATTTTGTGTAGTTTTTTGTTTTTATACAAAAAATATTATATAATTTCTCACACGTAAATTATGAGTTATTATTAATTTTACATATAATAATTTAAAATATAAAAAATCATAATTATTAATTTAAAATTATTTTTAAAATATAAATATTTTTTAATTTTAAAATATTTAAAAGCCACAATCTAAGTATATAATAATTTTTTTCAAATTCATAAGTATCGTAGTAAGAATTTCAAAAAAATTTCCTTTTCATAGCATTACTTCGAAATGCAAGTGGGTCACACTTTTTTTTTTCCTTATTTTGAGTTGAAATAAAATTATTATAAATAATAATTTTTTAAAATATTTATTACAGTTACCTTTTTAAATACTTATTTAGTTACCCTATAAACTTTTATTATCAATTTAGTGAATTTACTCCTCTCTTATTGGACGTGAATTTATACAACAACGGTGCATATTATAACAATAGTTAATAATAATATTTGTCTAGTATCACGCAAAGGATTGTCAAGTTAAGGAAAGAGAAAAATAAAAAAGTGTAATTAGCAGTATAATAAAAAATTTCAAAAATTAAAAATCCATGTCATCATTATATAGATTTGTTTGTAAAGCTATTTATAAGGATTCCCTCAATTTTAATGTGTTGAAAAATATATTAAAAAAATCTGTCAACATGAATCTAATATAAGTTATAATTAATAGTGCAAAGATACACATAATTTCATACCCATTTAAATATAAATTCAAACATACACATAATATGATGAATGTATCTTATTTATCTGGCAAAACCAAATATAAATAATTAAATAGCTGTATAAATATTTTGGTTAATTTATGCATAAATATAAATATTTGACTTAATTATATTTTTAATTTTTTATATTTAAATTTATGCATAATTTATTTAATTTTAAATTATTTAAATGATGTTTTTTATATTAAAATTTCTTTTAATAACTATAGAAATGTGACATATTATTGAATTATCTAAAATATAAAATTATATAAAATATTTAATAAAAAATATAATATGCAAAATGTATACACTTTTTTGTTTTGTTATTTATATATTTTTCCTTTATAAATATAAACAAATCAATAATACATCATACCTATAATTTGATATGTTTTTATTAATCATTGAATAAATTTTAAGATAAAATTTATTTGAATAATTAAAAAATTATAAAGATTATTTTTAATAAATAAAAAGTCAGGAGAATTAAATTTGGATATAAGCTAAAATACAAGAAACTTAAAAGCATTGAAAGTAACCTTTTTTTGAATTGGGTCTGCATATATTTTTTTAAAAACATTTATTTTATGTATTTCATGGTTAAATTTTTATTATAAATTTTATATTTTTAAAATTAATTAAACTATTTATCCCAAACTCTTAGCTTCACCTATAAATTTAACCCACTGAAAAATTTCATCCTAATGAAGCTCACACGAAAGAGGAGGCATTTAAAAATTCTATCTACAACTCATTGATTTGGTTCATAATTTATCTCATGTTATTAAATGAAAATGCATTATAACAATATTATCCATTGACATTAAGGGTAAGTTTTTTAGAATATCAATAAATTTGTGTGTGTGTATATATATATATATATATATAAAACATGTTACAATTATAAATTTGTTTCTAAAAATATCAATAAATATATAATTTTTTATTTAAGCAATATTGTACATAACAATAATTTATATTTAATATACTGATATTATTAAATTTGTAGTTTCTAATAAAATATATTACTTATTAATTTTTTATCATGTATAATATGCATAAATTTAAAAAAGTAATATATAAAAATAACAATAAATACTCGAATATAAGAGTGGAATCATTTTGACTGAGTAGTTGAGCTAACCCTCTGTTTTTCGAAGGGTTCTCCACCAATTAAATGAACCCACACGGCAATTTCATCGTTTACGAAGCTTCGAGAAAATGAGCAGGCATTTAAATACAATCAATTATAATGCCTCTTTATTTAATACAAGAGAACTTTTTTTAAATATCTTTCTGATAAAAATTTATTAAAATAAGAAAGTATAATATTAAATTGAAAATAAACAATAAAATTTACTTAATTTCTAACCAATTTTATCCTTATCTTACTCTTCCAGATAACAATCACCATTTTGTAAGTTTGCGCAATCTTTATTTTATTTTTATTTCCTTTTCTTATACCTCTATTTCTTTGTCATTACGTTATTTTTTATATTTTGTCCTTTTTTTTTTCTATTTATATCTTGTAGATTAAAACTACTCATTCGATGTCACTAACGCATAAATTGTGTTAGAAATTAAATTTCTTAGAAAATAAATTTAAATTAAACTGAAAATAATTCAAATTAAATTTTTTATCATCATAAAAAAATATAAATCCAAGTTAAACATTTTATAAATAAAAATAAATTCAAATTAAACTCTTTGTCATCATAAATAAAAGGACAAATTCAAGTTGAAATTGTTTACTTAATTATTAAGAAAGGTCCACTTTCAAAATTTTATAAATAAGTGATGTTATAGAATATTCAATTTTATAATAAAATAGTTTATTATTTAATTTTTATTGTACAAAGTTTTTTTTTAGAAAAAAAATTTAACTAGTTTTTTTTAATGGTTGTTTGAGCATGTAATTAATTATTAACAAAATCAAAATTTTATTGAGTGTATTAATTTTTTCATTAAAAAATTTATTTTTTTAAGTATTTATATTTTTCGTAACAAGTGTATTTCAACTAAACAATTTATTTTCATTGCAAACAAACGCGCAAAGTTGTCCCAGTTCATTTTATAATATGATTGAATTCAAATTTTAAGAACTACAATTATGTCAGAGTTGAGTAACTCGAACAAAAGAAACGCTTACCAACAACACAAACTGAATCTAGTCACAACCCTTTGCAGATACAAAACAATCACACAAGATTGGTGAGGGGTCAAATAACATGCATCAGATGTGGACACAATTAGGGTCACTCATGGCCACAAGCATGTTCATATACACCATTTTCATGCGCTTATTCCCCCCTCCTCTTCAAGCCCGTCTTAGGAAGTACACTCACAAACTCACCTCTTTTGTGTACCCTTACATCAGAATCACGTTCCATGAATTCACTGGTGAACGCCTCATGAGGAGTGAGGCTTACAATGCCATCCAAACCTACCTCAGTGAACACTCTTCCAAACAAGCCACAAAGCTTAAAGCTGAACTGGTCAAAGTCAAAGACACACACACCCCATTAGTCCTTAGCATGGATGATAACGAAGAAATCATAGAAGAGTTCCAAGGAGTGAAGCTTTGGTGGAGTTCTTACAAAATCACCCCAAAGACACAGTCTTTTTCTTTTCACCCTGCTTCAGATGAAAGAAGGTACTTCAAACTCACATTTCACAAGCGCTATAGAAGCCTCATAACCGAGTGTTACCTAAAACATGTGTTGGAAGAAGCAAAGGCTATTGAGATGAAGAATAGGCAACTTAAGCTTTATACTAATAGCAAGACAAGGTGGAGTCATGTGGTTTTTGAGCATCCTGCAACCTTTGAAACACTTGCAATGAACCCAACGAAGAAAGAGGATGTTATCAATGACCTCGTCAAGTTCAAAAGTGGGAGAAGTTACTATGCCAAAATTGGTAAGGCTTGGAAAAGAGGGTACTTGCTATATGGTCCTCCAGGTACAGGGAAATCGACTATGATAGCTGCTATGGCTAATTTCATGAACTATGATGTGTATGATCTTGAATTGACAGCAGTTAAGGATAATTCAGATTTGAGAAGGTTATTGATCAACACTTGTAGTAAGTCAGTTATAGTGATTGAAGACATTGATTGTTCACTTGATCTCACTGGCCAAAGGAAGAAGAAAAAAGATGGTAAAGAAAGAAAAGGTTGCGTTAAAAGGGGTGATAGAGATGATGATGATGATGATGATAATGAGAAAGGTAGCAAGGTAACACTTTCTGGGCTATTGAATGTTATAGATGGGATTTGGTCAGGTTGTGGGGGAGAGAGGATCGTGGTTTTCACAACAAATTTTGTTGAGAAGCTTGATCCAGCTTTGATTAGGAGAGGGAGGATGGATAAGCACATAGAATTGTCCTATTGTTGCTATGAGGCATTCAAAGTGCTTGCCAAGAATTACTTGGATGTCGAGTTTCACCATTTGTTTCCTAGAATTGAGAAATTGTTGGAAGAGACAAAGATGACCCCTGCTGATGTAGCTGAGAATTTGATGCCAAAGTCATTGAATGAAGAAGTGGACACTTCCCTGTTAAACTTGATTCATGCTCTTGAGATGTCTAAGGAAGATGCAGAAAGAAAGAAGGAAGAGACAGAAAAGGAGCAATTTAATGTGCAAGAGAATGCACTTAGTGAAAATCATGGTGAAGAAATGGAAGACAATGGTGTTATTATTTGATTGAGCTTTTACTAAAAATAGTTAGTGACATCTGTGTATTCACCCTTTCGGTGGCAAATTCTATGTAGAACTTGAATATCTGTGTGTCCCTATGTTTGAATATTTTCTTGGGCAAATAATGAAGAATGTTGTTCAAACATTCTATTAGACTATGGATCAACTTCACATCATTTTAGTTTCTTTTTCAAATATTACTCAATAATGGTTGGTCCAATGAACATGAAATTTAATTTTAAACAAACTTTATAATCATCTGTATCACGGTATAATTGGATTTGATGGTCATTAGATAGCCCAGTTGAAAAGGTGCGTTTTCATCCAAGTTGTTGTTTGCTTTTCTCACTGATCTTCCATGGTGTACGCTGTTTGAAGCCTTGAAGGCAAAGAGAAAATTTAAGTTATTATAAAGTGTTCATAAAGCCTTCTGGCACATAGAATAAAGAATTTGTTAAAGTTATCTTATGAGATAAATATTTTTTTTTTTTCATGTGAACTAATGAAGTTAAGACATTCTATTAATTTTTTACAGATACAAAATCTTGTTAGTCTACTAATTAAGATGAAAGATAACTTATACAAATCCATAAAACAAAACAAAACAAATACACCAGGGAGAGGATGATGTGTTGTAAGGATTTAAAAATATAATGATTCTTTGTAATAATTAACATGTTTATTTGTTTTTTTTAATAGCTTCTACACTCTTTTTTCAAGTAAGGAATGTAGTTGATTTTAGAGAGCGACCAAGTCCTTATAATATAAGTGGAATACGGATTAAAAATACAAAGTATTGTGAGAACAATACTTATATTGCTGAGTTTTATTATGAGAATAAAACTCTTAATATATTGAGTTACTATGTTTATTAACTAATAGTTCATATTACGTCATTTTTATTTTATGTAATTACTTCAATAAGCATTCCAATATTTAGTTAAGTTTTATCAGTATTTTAATTTTTCTAACTGCGCATAATTATTACTCTTTCTATACATCTTAGCGAGTCCAAACAGAACTAAATTAAAACAATGCAAGTGGGTGATTTTGACATGAATATAACCACAAACTATATTATATTTGAAAAAAAAAAAAAAAAAGGGTCTGCCAAATGGTAAGAATTTGTACAACTTTTTACCTAAAAATCGTGTCAGTGTGAAAGTGATCAAGATTAAAAAAAATAAAAATAAACGATTTGACCGAGTCAAACCCGGCGTTGATATTCAGTTTTTGTTACTTTTTATCAGATTTGATTTCACATTGTTCAGCAATTTTCTTGCGAAAAAATGTTGTCATAATAATGTTATTCAGAATTAGATGAAATTACAAAAAAAAAAAAAAGCATTTATATTCTAGTTTTTCTGTTTCGACTTCAATGTTGAAAAATAATTATCTCTTTTTTTTTAAAATCTTACAGTTAATTTTTCAAATTATAGACTAAACCAGACATATACTTAATAAAAGATCAAACAACTAAGTACCTCACCAAATCATTATCATGCAATGTTACCTTTTTGCCGTCATTTTTTCATTTCATTCTCTAAATTGGAACCGTTTTGTGGAAGAAAATGACAATTATGTATTTCATGGCGGAATTTAATAAAGAATAGATAACAAGTACAGCCATCACACATAGTTAATTGCTACAAACTATGCATGATGCACAATATTGGACACAAATGATGTGTATTGTAATTTATATATTGCAAGTTGGGGCAAAATAATGAAAAAAAGTAAATAAAAATACAAATAGCTTAAGTAATATAGATCAATAGTGCATGAATCATAAGTGTGAATCAGAAGAATATCGATTAATTAAGCTATGTATGAACTTGATGACTTCATACACTTACTTAAGCTAACGTATGTGCCTTAACTTTTTTCTCTGAAACCAAAGGATCCTTCCTTGAAATTACGACACTATTCTCTTTACAAAGTAGACCCAAGAGGTCTTTGTTCATCTTTTGTCAATTATGGTTCAATTTAGATAAATTTATATGAAAATATTTATAAGAGAAAAAATAATATAAAAATAAATAATATTTTTATAAGTTAAAAGTAGTCCCAAGAAGACTTACTATATATTGTTTGAAATTAATATATTTAAACTGTTAAAAATCCCACACTAAATACAAAACCTTGGATAAGTTATTCTCATCACTGTTTGACACGCACATAGCCATCGCTGAATAAGAGAGCAGAGACGTGTCCGCGTTATAAAATAAGAGGTGTATTTATTATACCCTTTAAATATTTATTAATTTTTTAAAATTATTTTATGTCTAAAATTTTTTATAACTATATTATTATTATTATTATAAGTATTTTATATAAAAGTTTTAAACGAGTAGTAATAATACTAACTTTTACTTAATTTTTATTTTGATAAAGGTTCTAAATAGTTAACATGTAAATGTTATTAACTAGTACGCAAAATGTAATTGAAAAAAAAATAAAAAAAATTTGCAAAAAATAGAAAAGGGTAGAAGAAGACAGGGTCAACGTCAACAAAGAGGAGAGGCTGCTTTTGATATGACAAATCGGGGTGACTACCAATGCCGGATGTGAACGGAGCTTTGACATTTTGCACCGTCTCAACTTGTTTCCTAAGAAATCCCATCAATATTTGTCATACTTATATTCTAATTCAAAACCAATATTCATGTCACTTTCGTTTCAATTACTCACTAAATAATTATATATGTTATTTGTAAATCAATATTTATGTATTTTAGAAAAATGTTTATTAAACACCCTATATTCTGAAACAATAAAAATAAAAATAGAATATGACAAAAAGATAAATGTATTCAAATAAAAGATATTAATATACTTTGATAGTGTTAAATGGGATATTATCAATCTTGGTGTATCTATCTAGTGTGGTTGTTAAGTTATCTCCTATTTAATTTTTATTTTAAAATATATCATATCAATTTAGAAGTTAAAATATATGACTTAGATTTATTAATATTAGGTGTTCAATCTAAATACTACTATTTAATAGTTTTTTAAAAATTAAAATTGATCAGACTAATTGTTAAATCATTTATAATATTTTTATAGTTATGTATATTAAATTTCACGTGATTTAAATATTTATAGGTATTTTATTTAAAATTTAATATTTATTTATATTTTAAAAATATATTATTTATTAATATAAAATAATATGATGAATTATTTATAAGTTTATTTTTTTTTAAATTATTTATTTAATAAGGATTTTTATGTCAATACTTATATTAATTACTTTTAAATTATATAAAATTATTAAATAATGTAAGTATTAAAATTTGATATTTTTGTGAATTAATCATGACTCAAAATATATTTATACTATAACCTAAATATCAATTTAATATTTTTCTTTTTTCTTTTTTCTTTTTTACTTTGATGACAACATATCACTTCAATACATTTATTATTTTTCAATCTTCTCTTTATGACTTTTTGGCTCCATATAGTTGAAAAGAAGTGCCAATGGTGTATTTTACTTGTACAAATTGAATGATTCTCCTTGGAGATTTAGACTGTACACAATTACCTTGTTGCATCAAATCCAGAAAACCAGCACAAAAACATTCGACTCAAATGCTATAAATCAGAGCAGCACACAAAATAAGCCAAAGATCAAAGAGAAGGAAGAGATAATGAGGGAGCTATGGGCACAAATGGGGTCACTAATGGCCACAGTTGTGTTTGTCTACACAATTTTTGAGCGTTTCTTCCCACCTCACTTTCGTGACCGTTTTCAAGCCTACACACAAAAATTAACCAACCACTTCAACCCTTATGTCCAAATAACCTTCCCTGAGTTCTCTGGTGAACGCCTAAAAAAGAGTGAAGCATACACTGCCATCCAAACATACCTTAGTGCAAACTCATCACAAAGAGCCAAAAGACTCAAAGCTGAAGTGGTTAAAGATAGCCAAACACCACTGGTCCTTAGCATGGATGACAATGAAGAGATCACAGATGAGTTCAAAGGTGTCAAAGTGTGGTGGAGTGCAAACAAATCAAGCACCAACACACAAAGGTATAACCCCTTTTCATATTATGCCCCCCCAGATGAAAAAAGGTTCTACAAACTCACTTTTCACAAAAGTTTCCGTGACCTCATCACTATGTCTTACATAAAACATGTCTTGGAAGAGGGAAAGGAACTTGAAATGAGGAATAGACAGTTGAAGCTTTACACCAACAATCCTAGTAGTGGTTGGTATGGTTACAAGCAATCAAAGTGGAGCCACATAGTTTTTGAGCACCCTGCAACGTTTGAGACGCTTGCAATGGAGCAGAAAAAGAAGGAAGAGATATTGAAGGACCTTGTCAAATTCAAGAAAGGGAAAGAGTATTATGCAAAAATAGGTAAGGCTTGGAAAAGAGGGTATCTTTTGTATGGTCCTCCAGGTACTGGTAAGTCTACTATGATAGCTGCTATTGCTAATTTCATGAACTATGATTTGTATGATCTTGAGTTGACTGCAGTAAAAGATAACACTGAGTTAAGAAAGTTACTGATTGAGACTCCAAGTAAGTCTGTTATAGTGATTGAAGATATTGATTGTTCTCTTGATCTTACTGGCCAAAGGAAACAGAAAAAGGAAACGAGTGATGATGAGGAACCAAAGGATCCTATTAGGAGGAATGAAGAGGAGAATAACAAAAGTAGTAAAGTAACTCTATCTGGGTTGTTGAATTTCATTGATGGGATTTGGTCATCTTGTGGGGGAGAAAGGATCATAATTTTCACAACCAACTATGTGGAGAAACTTGATCCTGCTCTCATTAGGAGGGGAAGGATGGATAAGCACATAGAGATGTCCTATTGTTGCTATGAACCATTCAAAGTGCTTGCCAAGAACTACTTGGATGTAGAGTCACACCATTTGTTTGGTAAAATTGAGAAATTGTTGAAAGAGACTGATATGTCACCTGCTGATGTTGCTGAGAATTTGATGCCAAAGTCTGTGGATGAAGATGTGGAAACTTGCTTGCAGAAATTGATTGATGCTCTTGAGATGGCCAAGGAGGAAGCAAGGAAAAAGGCAGAAGAAGAAGCAAGGTTGAAGGAGGAGAAAGAGAAGGAAGAATGTACTAGGATGGAAGAGAAAAATAAGGAGAAAACTAGGGAGGATGTGAAGGAAAATGGTTTCCATTGATCAATTTAGATAGATTCACTAGTTGCTAGTTACTGCCACTATTAGGATTTGAAATATCTACCAATTGTCCCAATGTCCCAATGTAGCTTCTTGGCTATGTAACAATTGACATGCTGTGTGGTTCAATTTCTGTTTTCCATGTCTTTTGCTCTTTCTAGTGTCTCTTACAGTAACAATTACATCGATATTCTCATTCCATTTCAGATTGTGGCCTTTTGAAATATCGAATATACTACGTAGTTCATGGTAGAACTAAATATTTTCAAGGACCAAAAATGCTAATCAGTTGAAAAAATGCAGTTTAAAGATGTTAATTGTTACTATATGGAAGAAGTGGTTGGTTTGAATATAAAAGATACTAATCAAATTAACAACAAATGATTATACTTTTCATTTCAATTACAAGGAATTGGTCTTTGGATATAAATAATTGATTCACTCTTCCAACCCTCAAATATAACAGTCCCCTGCTGATTAAAGTTATTTTGTTCTTGGATCTTTGGCACGTTTGTTGATAACTGAGAAATCCAGTTATACTGCATTTCCAAAAATTTGGAGTGTATTCGTGGTTCTGTATATAGATTACACACAGGACTTGAATATTGATTTTTCTTTTATGGATTATAAGCAAATCATTCAAGGATATTACATTTAATTTAAAATCTTAAGGTATCAAGTTGTTGTTATTATTTATATATTATTCATTTTTTTTAATTTTATTTAATATGAGACATTTTTATTCACAATTATACCTACATAATTATCACCATTATATTTGCCAGTTGAATTGAATCCTGTTGAAAAAAATAATTGACTTCCTGGTCAACAGATGTCGTTTCAAAGTATCTCGTTTCCAATGACAAATTTTTATTTTATTTTTATCAAGAAAGCTCAATAATCTTTGGTTTTAAGCAATCTGATTTTCTTTCTTTCACATACACAATTCAATTTTTCCACATTTCAATTGATTCCCTAGTCAACAGATGTCATTTCGAAATATCTTTTCATTATCTTTTAAATTAACAAATATTCCTTATATTTCATGGGCATTTTTAATTTATAAAATATAAAATATTATTTTAAACATTTAAAATCACAAAGATAAGCTCAATTAGTTTATAAAAATTATAAATAATAAAGACCGAAAGGAAAGTATTTTAAAGTATAAAAGAACGCATTGTTAATTTAAAATATTTAACTCTTAAAATTAAAGAAGTTAATGATTATGTGTTATTTTTTTAAAAAAAAAATATTATAAGAGTTTGTTTAGAATAACATTAATTTCATGTAGGGGTGTTAAAATAGGCATAGTTCAATGGGCTGGCCCACATAGTCCACCAAAATTGATGAGCTGAGGTAAATATTATAAATCCACCAACCTGTCTCGTCTTACTTAATTAAAATGCAGGCAAATGACGAGTCAAGGCTAGCTGGCCCATAGAGCCCAAAATTTATTTTTTAAAATAAAAAATAATTAAATATTAATAAAGTATTAATTTTTATTAATATAAAAATATTTTTTAAATATTTTTTAATTATTTATTATAATTTTTTTTGTTCATTTTTTATGTGTTAGTCTATTAATTTAACGACTCACTAATTTTTTTATTTTTAATTTTTTTAGCGGGCTGACCTGTTAGCCCATTCTTAAACAGAACGAACTCATATTAGTCCACTTTTAGGTGAACTTTTGGTGGAATTGAATAAGCTGACCCATTTTACTATCCCTAATTTTATAGCGTCTAGATATATTTATTTAAATAAACATAAATTTGCTTAAATGCAAAAAAAAAAAAGTATTATTAAAAATTCACTTAAACTCAAAATCATATATTTTTACTATTCAAGCCCATCTCTCTCTGACTTGGATACATATTTCAGCAAAACTTATTAAAGTAAGTTATAAAAATTATAAACTATTTTATAAGTTCAAATAAGTTCTCTGTAAGCTTTTTCAAAAGTACTTTATCAATCATTTTATAAATGTCCCAATACTGCTTTCTGACAACATCAGTTTTATTTGTAAGTGTGCTTAGGGTATTAACTTATTCTCAAATGATCATGACATCTATAATAAAAGAAGATGAAGCAGATACCCTTTTTAAAATATGTATGTTCTACAAGGATAACCTTCTTAAATGAGAGGAAGATGCATGCTTCCTTCATCTGAACTATGCCTCAGTTACAACACCAAAAAAATTTAGAAAGTGACTCAAATTTATTAATTGATGATTTTAAAAAAATATTATTAACTTTTTATTACAACTTACTCTTGAGATATCAAACTTACATTGATGAGCTAGGAATATATCAAGAGCTGGAATTTCAGAATTAAGCCCAATATGTCATAATATGTCATCAGAGCCCAGATTCAAATAGTTGAAAAAAAAAAGGAATAAAGGATCAAACAAACAAAAATTAGATCTATGGCATTAAAAAAAGTAATTTTTAAAAATAGTAAATGTTGACAATAAAAAGAAAACAAAAGCATACAGTATAAGTCCAAAAACTTAAAGTTCTAAACGCAAAATAACAAAAAATAAAAATTAACTAGCCTAACCATATTAAAATCTTAATACCTATAAAATATAAAATAAGTGTATGAAAATGTAATGATAGTAAATTGTTAATTTAGAATCTTAGCTAGTTTGAGGTTATATTCGTGGTACTTTAAAGAGATTCTTACCACCATCACAACCACATTGAAGTCTATCAAATATAGTAAATTTTAAATTTTCCCGTTAAATTGATTTCAAAGTCAAGAGATGTTACTTCGAAATGTCTCTTGTTGTTAGTTTTCTTAAAAAATAATTAACAAATATTTCTTACATTTTATGAGATTTTTTATGAAATATAAAAGCTATTATTTAAAGAGTTAGGATGTGTTGATATTATGTGTTAAATTTGGACACTTATATCACTTGATAACTTTTCATAGTATATAAGATTGAGTAATTTGACCATTAAATTATCTTATATTATTTTCATGATCATATATATATATATATATATATATATATATTATTTTTTATAATAAATTATAAATTTAATCTACCTAATAAGAATCTTCAAACAAACAGTTAAATTAATTAAGCTTATAATTTATAAAAAATATTAAATAATATAAGAATATTTAATTTTATTTAAAATTTTTAAATTATATAAATAAGTGTGATTAATTTAAATAGAATAAAAAAATCAGATTGAAAGAAAAACATTAAGTATTAAAAATAGGTTAGTTAATGCAAAAAAATTAAATCTTAAATCTTAAAAATAGAGAGTTGAAGGATGATAACGTTATTTGTAAACAGGAATGAAAACTTCATTGGGATTATAAATATTGAATACAGCAGCTGGCTCTAGAAACCCTTTTGCCTCTTTCCTTCCTGAGGAAAAATTCCTTGTCCAAGTTGTAGTAATTTCACACAAAATAACAAAATAGCATAACTTCCAAAGTAACTCTGCTGACCTGTCATTTTGTTTTTATCTTATTTTTTCTAATAAATTGCTTGCTATATTAAAAAGTATTTAATTTCGGATATTTTTATATTATTCTTTTAGAATCCATTAAACTTTTTAGACAACTGGATATCACATTAGAGAATTATTTGTGGCTATCTTGATGTCTAAGGAAAAATAAGAGAAAAAAAATTGACCAATGAGAATAGTGGGTGAGCAGCACTTGACATGTGGTAAAAGGCTGAAGCATCATGCGCTGTCTTTGTTACTAAGTAGTACAAAACAACATGCAGTTTCGAGTCTAAACATTTCATGGTAATGACTTTGTACTTCGTATCATGTGAATTTTATTGGTACATATAACCAATGCACGAGAAACAAATGACCCCTGATTAAGTGTATATATATATATATATATATAGCAAAGATTGATCATTAGAAGAACACCAAAAAAGAGAAGAGAAGAGAAAGAAGGAAAAGAAGAGAGAGATCAAAGTATGGGTGATATTTGGGGTCTTTTTGGATCAAAGCTTGCTAGCATACTCTTTTTGTGGGCTTTGATTCAAAGGTATTTTCCTCATCAGCTTCAAACCCTCATAGAAATATTCTCAGAGAAAGTAGCCAACTTGTTCTACCCTTATCTTGAGATCAAGTTCTTTGAGTACATAGGTGACTACATGAAAAGCAATGAAGCCTTCTCTGCCATCGAGCACTACCTGGCTTCCTTGTCTTTCAAACAAGCAAGGAAACTCAAAGGTGAGTACTTTAGACAATGTTTGGTGCTAAAGATGGATGAACATGAAGTGGTCTATGATGAGTTTGAAGGCATAAAGCTTACATGGAGTCTAAGGAAGATAATGTTGAGCTCAAATGCGGAATAACTTGGACGTGTAAATTAAAATTCTGACGTAAACTGGCGAGCAATAATTCAGACCTAATAAATAGATCTAGCAGCGCAGCGGTGTAACTTGTAAAGTGTGCACTGAAATACTTCCCAGGAAAGAGAGGTGGATCACAACGGATCACTTAAATACCAGGTCTTTCCTTAGCCAGAATCTTTCCAGTTACAACACTAATACAAATACACACTTCTCCAGCAATCCAACAATCAGCCACGGAAGGATAACAAAAATAATTCTTTTCTGATGTGTAAGATCAGACTAAACTGCAACCACAGAGCATACTAAGAATTATTTTTAACTGAATAAAATAAGCAGATAAAGAACACCACTATTTAACGTGGAAAAACCTCCAATGTGGAGGAAAAACCACGGGACAAACTCCGAAAAATATTCCACTATATCTCAGGATATTTACAATATCCTTTCAACACTCTATCACACAAGAGGTGTAAAATATAGTGTACACAGTGAGACTCACTCCTATTCAAATATTACAAATTTTGTAATACCAAGAAGAAATAGAGATGATACCCACCCCAGTGTATTTTTCTCACACTCTTAGGATTTACTCAACACTCTATTTTTTTTTTCTCTCACAAACACTCACAATGCTTGATGAAATCTTGTGTGTGTTGCTGCTTGTGCTTCCTTCAATTTCATTTCACGGCTATTTATAGCCAAATAAAGTTACTATTCATTTAATAAAATATTATTAATTGTTTATGAAGTCAAAAAAGGGGGCACCGAAATTGAAAATGTGCTGGACCTCACAATTCTCCCCCTCCAGCACAAAGGTGCACTCTTGGAATCTTCACATGCGATCTATGCCAATCAGTTTGGCACACTGTTGATGTTTTTCTCGTGCAACAACTTTCGTCATCATATCAGCAGGATTTTTATCCGTATGAATCTTATCTAGCTTGAATTCTTGTTCTTCCACTGCCTGACGCAGCCAATGATATCTGATATCAATGTGCTTCGTACGAGAGTGATACATCGCATTCTTACTTAAATCTAATGCGCTTTGGCTATCACAATGGATAACGTACCTTTTCTGCTCAATTCCCAGTTGTTGAAGAAACCTCTTCAACCAAAGCATTTCCTTTCCTGCTTCAGTCATGGCAACATACTCAGCTTCAGTAGTTGACAAGGCCACACATTTCTGCAATTTGGATTGCCAAGATATAGCTCCCCCTGCAAAGGTAAACACAAGTCCTGAAGTAGATTTTCTACTATCCAGGTCACCTGCCATATCTGCATCTGTGTATCCTTCAAGAACTGGGTTAGGTATTCCAAAGCTCAAGCACATATTAGAACTACCTTTCAGATATCTCAAGATCCACTTCACTGCTTCCCAATGCTCTTTTCCAGGATTGGAAAGATACCTGCTAACAACTCCGACCGCATGAGCTATATCCGGCCTCGTACAAACCATGGCATACATCAAACTCCCGACTGCTGAGGAGTATGGAATACCCGCCATAGCTTCTTTTTCTTCTTGACTTGTGGGACAACTTCTTTTGCTGAGTTTGAAGTGATTTGCCAACGGTGTACTAACTGGTTTAGCCGTCTTCATGTTGAATCTGTCCAGAATCCGATTCACATACCGTTCCTGCGATAACCACAACCTTCTGGATTTTCGGTCTCGCATGATCTGCATGCCCAAAATTTGTTTTGCAGGGCCCAGATCTTTCATATCAAAAAACTTTGACAATTCTTTCTTCAAATCACCAATCAGCTTCACATCCTGTCCCACTATCAACATATCATCTACATACAACAGAAGGATAATGAATTTATCACCTGGACATGTCTTGACAAATACACAATGATCTGCATCAGTCTTGGCATATCCATGACTCGTCATGAACGAGTCAAATTTCTTATACCACTGTCTTGGAGCCTGTTTCAATCCATACAAGCTCTTCTTCAATCTGCAAACCATGTGTTTCTTTCCAGTTTCCTCAAAACCTTCTGGTTGCTCCATGTAGATTTCTTCATCAAGGTCTCCATGAAGAAACGCAGTCTTCACATCTAGTTGTTCAAGCTCCAGATCCAAGCTAGCCACCAATCCGAGTATAACTCGAATAGAGCTCATCTTCACAACTGGAGAGAAAATTTCATCAAAATCTATTCCTCGCTTTTGTCCAAAACCTTTTACAACTAAGCGAGCCTTGTACTTCAACAGCTTGTCACCATCTTTCTTAAGCTTGAACACCCACTTATTTTTCAAGGCTTTTCTGCCTTTAGGGAGCTTGACTAACTCATAAGTATCATTCTTCACCAGAGAATCCATTTCTTCTTGCATGGCTTTCATCCACTGGGATTTATCCTTATGAGTCTGAACTTCTTCAAAGTTTTCTGGCTCCCCCTCTTCAGTGATGGTAATATACGTCGAACTAGGGTACTTTGTAGATGGCTGGTGTGGTCTTCTTGATTTCCGAGGCTGAGGTGGAGCTTCTGGGTTTTCTTGCTCAACACCTTCATCATCACCATCTTCTATTGCTGGCTCATTATCAACCCTAAGTTCTTCATCACACTCTCCCCCTACTGTGGCATTTTTAGGAGGAACAACTGGTGTAAGATCAACCTTACCACCTGGTTCTCTGATTTTTGGTGAAGCAGAATCCGACATAGTTTCTTGCTCATGGAACACTACATCTCTGCTTCTAATAACTTTCCTATTTTCTGGATCCCATAACCTGTAGCCAAATTCCTCATCTCCATAGCCCAGAAATATGCAAGGAATGGCTCTATCATCAAGCTTTTGTCTCTGTTCCTTATTCACATGAGCAAAAGCTTTGCATCCAAACACTTTCAAATGAGAGTATTTAACATCATGTCCGGACCATACTCTCTCAGGGATATCAAAGCCCAAAGGAACAGATGGAGATCGATTAATCAGGTAGCTTGCCGTTAGAACAGCTTCACCCCAGAATGGCTTAGGCAGTTTTGCCATTCTTAACATGCATCTTACTTTCTCCATAATGGTTCTGTTGATTCGTTCGGCCACACCATTATGTTGTGGGGTTCCAGGTACCGTCTTCTCATGCCTGATGCCATGCTCAGCACAATAATTCTTGAATTCATGGGAAGTATATTCACCCCCATTATCCGTGCGAAGACACTTCAAAGGTTTACCAGCCTGTCTCTCTACCATTGCATGAAACCTTTTAAAGCATTGAAAAACTTGGTCCTTCGTTCTTAAGAAGTACACCCACAATTTTCGTGAAGCATCATCGATAAACGTCACGTAATATCTGCTACCACCAAGACTCTCCACTTCCATGGGTCCACATACATCAGAATGAACCATCTCCAAAATATTCTCTTTCAGCTTTGACGTTTTGCTGAAAGACACTCTATGATGCTTGCCGAATAAACAGTGATCACAAGGATTCAACTTTGTATTTTTGGCAAACGGGATAAGGGACTTTCTTGCCAAAATCTGCAATCCTTTTTCACTTATATGAGCCAATCTTTTGTGCCACAAATTTGGCGAAGCATCATCCTCGACTGCATTCAATCCTCCCTTGATCAGCTTTACTTGAGTTTTATACAACGTTGAATTTACTGTGCCTCTAGCAACCAACAACGATCCTTTGGTAAGCCTCCACTTGCTGTTACCAAAATGGCTGTCGTAATCAGCTAGATCCAAAGCATGCACAGAGATCAAATTCAGACGTAGATCTGGCACATGACGCACATCTTTTAGTGTTATTGTGCATCCTGTATTGGTTTGAATGCACACATCACCAATTCCCACAATATCTGCGATACTGCTATTGCCCATCTTTACTTTACCAAAGTCTCCTGCTTTGTACACAGTAAAGAATTCCTTGTGAGAAGTTGCATGATAAGATGCTGCTGAGTCAATGACCCATTCATCACATGAGTCTGTAACTTGACACTCTTCTTCTTCTTCAACAGAGAGTACTACCACATCCCCAGTTGTCACAGGGGATGCAGTATTTTCATCGTCATCCGATCTAGAGTTTCGTCGGTCTTTCTTCTCTCTGTTCTTCCAGGCTTTACAGTTTCTTTTTATGTGCCCTTCTTCACCGCAGTGGTAACACTTGAATTTTCTTCTGGGCTGAGACTGTGACTTATCTCTTGATTTGTTACTTCGTCCTCTGCTCTTACTTCTCCCCCTGTTCTCTGTGACAAGGGCATGAGAACTGCTTGCCCCAGAGTCTTTTCTCCTTGTTTCTTCATTAAACATGCTGTCTTTGACTTGAGACAAAGTCAGTTTTCCTTCAGGAGCAGAGTTGCTTAATGACACCACCAGAGTCTCCCAGCTGTCTGGTAAAGAACTCAAAAGTAACAGCGCCTGCAATTCTTCATCAAGTTTTATCTCCATGGTAACTAGCTGGTTTACCATGTGTTGGAAATCATTCAAGTGTTCTGCAACTGGTCTTCCATCTTGATATTTTAAATTCACCAGCTTCCGAATAACAAAAGCTTTGTTTTGTGCAGTCTTCCTCTGATACATTTGTTCAATTTTGTTCCACAGAGTCTGGGCATTCGTCTCTGTGGCAACATGGTGGAATATGCTGATATCCACCCACTGCCTAATTAAACTGACGGCCTTCCGGTGTATCTTTTTCCAATCCTCATCCTTCACGTCTTCTGGCTTTTGATCTCCCTTTTCCACAGGATCATACAGGTCCTTGTAGAAAAGTATGTCCTCCATTTTCGGCTTCCAAATAGAGTAGTTTGTTGCTGTTAGCTTCACCATGGTACCTACGTTCTCTTCCATTTAATTTACACTCGGTGATACAGAGCCCAACTTAAGCTCTGATACCACTTGTTGAGCTCAAATGCGGAATAACTTGGACGTGTAAATTAAAATTCTGACGTAAACTGGCGAGCAATAATTCAGACCTAATAAATAGATCTAGCAGCGCAGCGGTGTAACTTGTAAAGTGTGCACTGAAATACTTCCCAGGAAAGAGAGGTGGATCACAACGGATCACTTAAATACCAGGTCTTTCCTTAGCCAGAATCTTTCCAGTTACAACACTAATACAAATACACACTTCTCCAGCAATCCAACAATCAGCCACGGAAGGATAACAAAAATAATTCTTTTCTGATGTGGAAGATCAGACTAAACTGCAACCACAGAGCATACTAAGAATTATTTTTAACTGAATAAAATAAGCAGATAAAGAACACCACTATTTAACGTGGAAAAACCTCCAATGTGGAGGAAAAACCACGGGACAAACTCCGAAAAATATTCCACTATATCTCAGGATATTTACAATATCCTTTCAACACTCTATCACACAAGAGGTGTAAAATATAGTGTACACAGTGAGACTCACTCCTATTCAAATATTACAAATTTTGTAATACCAAGAAGAAATAGAGATGATACCCACCCCAGTGTATTTTTCTCACACTCTTAGGATTTACTCAACACTCTATTTTTTTTTTCTCTCACAAACACTCACAATGCTTGATGAAATCTTGTGTGTGTTGCTGCTTGTGCTTCCTTCAATTTCATTTCACGGCTATTTATAGCCAAATAAAGTTACTATTCATTTAATAAAATATTATTAATTGTTTATGAAGTCAAAAAAGGGGGCACCGAAATTGAAAATGTGCTGGACCTCACAGATAATGCACAACACAAAATCTGTGTCATTCTATCCTGCTGAAGACAAAAGATACTACCTTCTCACATTTCATGCCAGACACCGCGATGTTGTCACAAACTCTTACCTTGACCATGTTTTGGCACAAGGTAAGGACATTGGGCTAAGGAAGAGGCTGAGAAAGCTTTACACCAATTGCACAGGTTGTGGTGATTATGACAATAAGGGTAAGTGGAGCCATGTGATTTTTGAGCATCCAGCTTCCTTTGAAACACTTGCAATGAATCCACAAAAAAAGAAGGAGATTGTTGATGACCTTACTACTTTCAGCAAGGCCAAAGAGTACTATGCTAGAATTGGCAAGCCTTGGAAGAGGGGCTACCTCCTTTACGGCCCTCCAGGGACAGGAAAATCAACTTTGGTTGCTGCCATTGCTAATTTTCTTGGGTATGACATATATGACATTGAGCTAACTGCTGTGCAAACCAATGCAGAACTAAGAAAGCTTCTGATTGGAATTGCAAGCAAATCAGTGGTGGTGATTGAGGATATAGATTGCTCACTTGATCTCACTGGCCAAAGGGAGACTAATTCTGAGGGTGGCAAAGGTGAAGATGAGAAGAATAGAGTCACTTCTGTGATGGAGCAAGTGGAAGGTGCAATTGCAAGTAAAAACAAAGCTGGAAGCAGCAAGGTCACACTTTCTGGATTGTTGAATTTCATTGATGGGATTTGGTCCGCTAGTAGCGGGGAGAGACTCATTGTATTTACTACTAATTATGTGGAGAAACTTGATCAAGCTCTCATTAGAAGAGGAAGAATGGACATGCATATTGAACTTTCTTATTGTGGCTTTGAGGGGTTCAAAGTGTTGGCAAAGAATTATCTTAGCGTAGAGTCTCATTACTTGTTTGACACCATTCGCGGATTGTTGGAAGAGACTAACATAACCCCTGCAGATGTTGCTGAAAACTTGATGCCTAAGGTAGCTGATGAAGATGTTGAGACTTCCATGGAGAGGTTGATTCAAGTCCTTAGAAGATCCAAGGAAAATGCTGAGAAAGAAAAAGGGACTACAACAATGGAAGAGTCGAATGGAGTTGATTCATCTGAGGGGGCAACGGCATCAACAAAAGAGTCTAATGGAGAGGATTCACGAGATTCTAATGCAGAGTCCTAAGCAAGATCAATTAGTTGTTCATTATTGTTTTATTTTCAAATGTTTCACCTTGAGCTTTATTAAATATCAGCATGTTTATCTGTTTGTGTTATTATAGTTATATTAGTATGATTTCTCTTAATGAAAGTAATGGTGCTGTGCTGAATTAGACTCTTCCTTTGTGCTTCATACATTTGAATATAGTATGATGAATATTTAGAACTAAAATTATGTTACAAACTAAATATTATAGATTTTGATGTTCAGCATGGTAGATGGCATGAGACATCGTTTTGGTACTGTTTTGCCGCATCAAGAAAATCCCAGTTTTACAATCTACCGAGAGATTGATTATATCTGTATAATCCCAATTCCTTAGGCCTGATTATAATTAGAAGTTGAGAAAAATCATCGAGGCCATAAATTATTAAATATGCGCCTGAATAATTTTTTTTTTTTTTTAGTTTCTTAACCAATTTAACCCACGCTCGCCTGCAACACAATAAAGTAAAAACAATGGAAGGAAAATACAAGAGTATATTTAATGAAATATGTTAAATATTCTTTTAAAACACTTTTAAGATAATCATTAATCTCCAACTCCCTAGTTAATTTTTATTTTAAGACTATTGGTAAAAGGTTATAACAATTATTCGAGTTTACCATGACCAGAATATATTGAGAAGTCAATTTGTTTTCAATTTTAACTGTGATGTTGAATCAAGAAGTTTAAAGGTAAGTAAAGTTTGTTAAAATAACTAATAAGTAAAAATAAATTCCAAAGTTAATAATTATATGTTTTGTTTAATTCGACTCTGTCTTTTTTTTTTTTTAAATATAAATCATTATTATTATTTATTAGATACAATTATGTTTAAGAAAGTAGATAAGTTTATCTCAAAATATTTAATAAAATTATATTCAATGAAACTCGAATTTAACATTAAGTTGAAATATTTTTTAATGAAAGGGAGGATCTGATCTCATCTTATCTGGTGATCTTGAAAACTTTAAAAGGACCAACCAAGATGGATATTGTGTTGCATGGGAAGGTGACGATTGAGAATACCTAACCAAATATTTTCTTTTATTGAGTCTTCTTATCCGATTGATTAAGGAACCCAAGTCGGTGTTGTCATGACAATTTAGTACGCATCAACCGCATACAAACACCCTATGCTTCTGCTTTTGTTGCCGACATTTGAGGATGCAGACAAATATACCAATCAACTTTCCCATTCCCATTACATTCACTCAACATTCAACCTACACGCGTACGTGGTTATGAAATTACAGGGATTACCCTTCCAAAAGAGGAATCATGTTACAGATTTTACAGATTACTATCTTTAAAATACTAAAATCTATATATACTATATTAATAAAATGCCTCTAAGTCTAATTGTATGAAATAAAAAGTCATTTTTACAATAATTTTTATTTATTTATTATAAAACACTGATTTTACCTTTAGTATTATAAAAATTTAACAACAAACCATACCCCCTAAACATATAGATATTATGAGATATGAGATAGATATTCTGTCACGCATATCCTTCACCCTCTATATAAGGCAATGCCCATTTCTTAATCCAAAACATGTGTGTAAGAAAGAACAATAGAACAGCTGAAAAATATGACGCCAGGTGACATGTTTGCTCAAATAGGATCCATAGTTGCTTCCATAATGTTTGTTTGGGCTATGTTTAAGCAATTTTTCCCTCACCAACTAAGCCACCAAATTGAGAAATACTATCAAAGATTGGTGACTTTGATCTACCCTTATATCCAAATCACGTTCCATGAGTTCACAGGGGAGAGACTGATGCGAAGTGAGGCTTATTCAGCCATAGAGAACTACCTTAGCTCCAAGGCTTCTACACAAGCAAAGAGGCTCAAAGCTGACATAGGAAAGAACAACCAATCCCTTGTTCTTAGCATGGATGATCATGAAGAAGTAGCTGATGAGTTCAATGGTATCAAACTCTGGTGGGCTTCTGGCAAACACACTTCCAAATCACAATCACTTTCTTACCACCCGATGACTGATGAAAAAAGGTACTACAAACTCACTTTCCATAAAAGCAATAGAGACATGATCTTAGGAACATATTTGAATTTTGTACTTAAAGAGGGTAAGGCTATTAAGGTGAAAAACAGACAAAGGAAGCTTTATACTAATAGTGGGTCTTATTGGAGCCATGTAGTGTTTGAGCATCCAGCATCATTTCAAACACTTGCTATGGACCAAGATAAGAAGAAAATGATCATTGATGATCTCGTCACATTCAGCAATGCTGGAGAGTTCTATGGAAGAATTGGTAGGGCATGGAAAAGAGGTTATCTACTTTATGGACCCCCAGGAAGTGGCAAGTCCACTATGATTGCTGCCATGGCAAACTTGTTAGGCTATGATTTGTATGATCTTGAATTAACTGCGGTGAAGGACAACACTGAATTGAGGAAGCTTTTGATTGAAACATCTAGCAAGTCTATAATTGTGATTGAAGATATTGATTGTTCACTTGATTTGACTGGTCAAAGGAGGAAGAAAAAGGAAGAGGAAGAAGAGAAGGATCCTAAGGAAAAGCAATCAAGAATGCAAGAAAGAGATGCAAGAAATAGTCAGGTAACTCTTTCTGGTCTTCTGAATTTCATTGATGGGTTATGGTCTGCTTGTGGTGGAGAAAGACTTATAGTATTTACAACAAATTATGTGGAGAAACTTGACCCTGCATTGGTGAGGAAAGGGAGAATGGATAAGCACATAGAGTTGTCATATTGTGGTTTTGCGGCATTCAAAGTGTTGGCTAAGAATTATCTTAACATTGAATCACATTATTTATTTGGCACAATATGTGAGATGTTGAAGAAAACCAAAATCACCCCAGCTGAAGTGGCAGAGCATTTGATGCCTAAGACTGCTTCAAGGGATGCAGAATTTTATTTGAAAAGTTTGATTCAAGCACTTGAATTGGCACAAGAAGAAGCCAGGGTTAAATCTGAGGAAGATGCAAGAAAGATTGAAGCATCCTCTGAGCAAGATTCTCATTGGACTGAAAGTGATTCACCAGCCAAAGCAAACGGGAAATCAGAAAACTACACATAAACTTGATGCAAATTAGAGTCACCAAGATAGAGAGAGTTAAAGGTGTGGATCATTGGAAGGCAATGGATAAGGCACTCAATTGTTATAACCTGAGAATTTGGCAAAGGCAAGACCTATCCTAGGACATTGGATAAACAAACAGAAATACAAAGTTTTTCATTTGAAAAATCATATATTTATTGTATAAAAATGCAAAAGTTATTCAATGTATATAAGGCGTATTTAATATGTCATTATGTCCTTGGGACATTCATTACTATAATTCAAAATTCTTACTTTCATTTCTTTTTATTATTGGTCTATTTTTTAAAAAAAACCGTTTATAATTATTGTTACTTAAAAATTTGAAAGAATATTAATTATTGTCTTTTTAATTATATGTTTATTTCTACTAATCTTTTGAATTCTTTATACACTTATCATAATTACAGGGAAGATCACCTCTGTTTACTTATGATAAAAGGTATGCATCTTGTGAGTTTCACTAATGAATCATTTCGATAAATAGAAATGAGTTTTTTTTTTAATTAAAACAAATAAAATGAATCATATAAAAGATAAAAATAATTTTAATGTTAAAAAATATCAATTATTGTTTGACCCAATCTAAGTTGTACCTAAATGATGACCAAACTAAAATTCCAACAGAGATATGCTGACAAGATGGGAAATTGATAAAATATGTTAGAAAATTACTATTTGGCAACTATGTGCGTTATCTATTCCTTTATGCGCAAGCACGCACTTCGTCCTCTCCAGAATGCACTAAATGGTGAACTATGATAAGAATAGTGAAAAATCCAACCTATATATTAGAACTTTTTTTAATAACATTATTTGTTATATTTTGAATAATATTATATACGAAATTAATTTATGTTATTTAAATATCAGAATTGTACATTAAGCTTTGAATAATTATATGTAGAAATCTATAAAATATAATAAATTCAAGTTATTATGTTTTAAAATGAGATACTTGATATACATATTTTTTTCTCACATATTTACATTTTTCTAGTTTTGTAATTTATATTTTATGTATTTATATATTAAATCAACATTTTATTTTTCTTTAATTAATTTTTCAATATTTAAACTTCATCAATCAAAATTATTTTTTTTTAAAGTTTAAAATGCCTCTATTTTTAATTCTACTTTTTATTTTTATTAAAATGAATTTTGTTAATATTTTATATGTCCTTAAACAACTTTAGTATAAATTTCAGGACAAAGGAAAACATGTGAGATATTTTGTTGGTAAACATGTTAGATTTATATAAGACATGAAAAGGGCTATTATATGGATCCTATACGAGTAGTCATTCCAACTAGTCCTTAGCATTACACTACTCTTTCAAAAACAAAATAGAAGTAATCTTTTAAATTTAATTTATAAAAATAATTTAAATTTTAGAAAAGTTAAATAAAATAATTTTTAAAAAAATAAATATAAATCAATTTTAACTTATAAAAATTTAATTCATTTTTTCATTTAATTTTTAATTACTATATATATTTATTAATAAATTTATCCCCACTTGCCTTACCTCATTCTTATTATTTTGGTCATGTCTAAAATAATTTGGTCCAACAGAAGTTGGGTGCTTGTTGTTGGATCTGGTTTGGGCTCTATGGTCTTAGCCTTGTGACCAGTTTCCAACATGGCCCAGTACTATACAAAAAACAGGGCATCAACAATTTTTACAATGGAATTCTTTTATTGAAAAAAAAAACATTTTTATGAAAAAAATGAAAATATATCTATAATTTAACTAGGTTAAAAAATATAACTTGTAAAATATCATAAAAAAATAATGCACGTTTACTTTAATTTATTTATAAATAAATATTTTTCTAACTGCTTGAAGAACTCAAATTTTTATTTTTCTAAAATTAAGTTAAAATAATTTCACATAGTATAAGACTTTTTTTTTATTATTATGAACGTATACAAAGTAAATTATTTTTATTCCGATGTTAGTCCTAATTAATTTCTTTCTCCATCACTTTCTTTTTCTTGTGCATGCTTTTATCTGTTAATCAAAATAAAAAAGTGGAAATCTTGGACATAGTGAAGTGATGTTTTTACTTTTATTCTTTAAGAAAAATTAAGCTTAAAAATCAACATTAAATATTAATGTTAATTATTAAACTATACTGTTAGTTATAAATTAACATTAAAATTATTTTAAAAAATTCACTTAACTTTTCACATTATTTTCTCTCTCTTTTATTACAAATTTTTTTATTTATCTTTCCGTCATATGTTTACAATTTTTTACTCAATTAATTTAAGTAATATATGTTTAATTCTCTTTGAGTAAAATTTTAAAATCAAATTATATATATATAAGGATTTAATTCTATTATATAATATATATTATTTACTTAAATTCATAAAATTGTCTCTAATAAAGATATTTATAATTAAAATAAAAACAAATATACAACTCTTCACACCTGAGAAAATACTGTATCTATTTAAATATTCCAGTGAAATGAATGATCTAATTTTTAAAAAACAAAGTATGAAAGGATTGGCATATTGTATAAAATAATTTGAAATATATTTTAAAAATAAATTTTCTATTAACAGGATGGTGTGAACACTGACCTTAGTTGTTTCCTTAATTGACCCGAATGTCAATGCATGCAATTTGTTTGATAGGGTCATGGGTTCTCTGTTTGCTGGACCATTCAAAGGTTCTTTCTTGATTCCAATTCATGTGATTTAGAATTATTCAATTCTCAATTGCTAGAAGAAAAATCCTACTCACTCTTCCTTTATATTTCACACAAGGGTCCATCGGTCAACATTTATGATCAGACTATATATGAAATATTAAATTAAATTAAATTATCATGAAATATTAACTTGATAAATTTATTTCTTAATAGGTATTGTAATTACATTACATCATTTAAAAACTGATTTTAAAAGGCAGTGGCTATACAATTGCTATTTAATATTAACTTACAAAACATTTTTTTATATAATAAAATTTTAAAATTTATCTTACAAACTTCTAACTTAAAAATAATGCACACGTGATAAAATGCTTGTCAAATAGCAATTTAAAGTGAAAAATTATGCAACATAGTTACTAGCATTTAACATAATAAAAGGTTATTAATAACTATATTTTATTTATTCTGGACTATATAACTATTTTTAAAAATTGTCTAACCAATTTTCTTTTATTACTGTCAAAATTAATCATTACAGGTTATATTAGCTGTAAACAACCAGGGTTTATGGAACCACAACTTCTGCAGTTTTTAATTTTTATTTGTTTTTTATTTATCTCTTCAGATAAAAAAATTACACAAACTAAAAAAAATTAATTATTTTTTAGAAACAAATAATTTGAATCAATTAAAATGTTAGTCTGTGTAATTTTTAAATTAAGATGTTTATCAAATAATTCTAAAATTAAACAGGTATTATAGATATTTAATAATTTTAATTTACAAAATAGATATTTAATATTTAAGAATTTTATCAAATAATGTTATTAAAAAATAGTATTGTGAAAAAATAATAATTAATATTATCTTAAATTTATTTAAATAAATAAATAAGAATAAAAAGTTATCTTTCTTCAAGAAACTATTTGTGTCTAGTTTAAGGAAGCGAAGCCGTACAATTTGCCGGCACAACCACCATGTCATGTATATAGAAAGAATGAAATTTTAAAATATGAATAAATTATTCTAGTTTTTCCTTTTAATAATATTTTTAAAATAAAAAATAATAAAATTAATTAAATATTATAATAAAGAAAATAATAAAAATAATTGTGAAAAAATATCGTGAGAAAATGTTATAAAACCCATAGTCTAAAGAAAAAAATGGATAGACGTCTAATGGTTCAAGTGAATTCCTTATTTTTGTTACAATTCATGCAAATTAATATGAATACCACTTGATAATCACATGAATTAAACCATAAAACTAATAAATAATAATAATTCTATAACTTTCATTTGTTGGATATACAAAATTATAAAATTTTCCACGTCACAATGGGTTTACTTTTTGTGTTCTTTATATAACTGATGTGATTTTGCATTTTGAACCCTATCAATATATATTTATTAAGATTTATATCCTCTCTTGGATTAAATAAGAATCATAAGATCCTTTTGGCGAAGAAAATACATTATAATTAGTTAAATATCTACCAATTAAAATTTTTCTTGATCCATTTTTCAGGCAAAACCATACCCTACTATTCAAAATTTCAAAACAAATATTCAAGTTCATTATATTAAATATCAATTCTTGTAATAAAATTTACTTTTGAACAAACATTAATTGATGGTCAAATGAAGAAGATACTAGTCAATCAAGAAAATTATTTATAATCTGATCACATGAATTAGTTACGAATCAAATCCTGATTTCATCTCATTCTTCAAAACAACAATGCAACGTTTAAATATTTCAAAAACATACCAAAACCATTTTTTGTTTGTTTGTAATTTTATATGGAAACTGACAATAACCACAAAAATTGTGTCAAAACTGAAATGTCTGTCACAAACATAAATCAATTACAAAGTCATACCAGCTAACTGTGAATGTTTTGAATAGTCAATTTCCCATCATCGATTAAAAAAATCTCCTATACAATCTTATAATGAATTAGAAAAACCTTAATCATACAGCTCATATGATTTCTCAAGAATCCAAAAACGAACAGTTATTTCCCATATTTTCCAATTTGCATGGACTAACCAATGACTTATTCAAAAGCAGTCTCAATTTATTGCGGTACATCTAATGAAACAAGTGACTTCCTAGAAGCTCACGAACCTCTTCAATTATCATTATAATATTGTTCAGTGTAAGCTGCTTGTAAGTTTCTTAAGGGAAATGAAATGATGATGTTGAATCAAACATCCACAGCTGAGAATCTTAGCACCATTCTGTCATCAAAAATAAAATTGTCCAAAACATATTGATTAATAAATTAAAATAACAATTTTTTATTAAAATATATTTTTTAATACATATCTTAGCACCATTAAAGCAGCACAAATAAAAGTGTCCTAAGAATATTGATTAATAAATTAAAATAACAAATTTTTATTAAAAATAATTTTATAATACATCTTTTATTATAATTTTTAATGTATTTCAGCATGGTTTTTAATAAAAAAATTAATTTAGATTCCTTAACCAATATCTTGATAACACTTGTTAGAAAAGACCCTTCTTTTATTTTCCAAAAGCCCTTCGAAAATATATGTTGGAAACTTCGTAGCAATTCATG